TTCATTCTTGGAATCTCACTTAAATCTACGGAAAAATCTATACCCAAAAAGTTGAACTTATCCTTCCCCCATTGTAGATGCAAGTCTGGAAGGAAAGTTTGGTCACTATATTTTCTACTGCCTATCCATATAACCTGTGTTTTTGTAGTATTGATCTTTAACCCAGAGATATTTGCAAAATTATTCAATTCATCGATAGATTCCTTAAGAGACCTCTCAGTACCATCTAGTATCAACCCAGAATCATCTGCATATTGTATATTTAAAATATCTATATTTTCCAATTGGATGCCTTTAATATGGTCATTATTTCTTATTTTTGATGCTAGGACCTCAACACAAAGTATAAAAATATATGGGGCGATAGGATCACCTTGACGGCATCCGCGTTGAGTTTTGATATGTGCAGAAATGTTGCCACCTTGATTAACAGTGTGTAAAGATTTAACTCTTTGTCTTATGTCCACCCCAAAATTAAAATATTCTAGTACCTTATCAATAAAACTCCATGAAACCGAATCAAATGCTTTTTCAAAATCTATCAAAAGAACCATACCTGGAATGTTTCTGTAATGTATGCATACGCCTCCAAGGCATCAAGAGTTGTTCCCCTTGATAATGTTACGCTTCAAGCGTCTCTGTAACTTAGAAGGTTCTTGAATAAACATGGCGGCTTGAAACACGTTTCCAGTGTCTCTGGATTCTCTTCAATTATTACTGCTAAACGCAGTCTGTAAACGGTACATGGTGTCAGAAACGTTGATCTGGACCAACCATGTCTGCTACGCCATTTGACCAACCACGTCTGGATTGGGGAGCCGGCGATCAGTACCAGGAATTTCTCCGATTCCGACAGCACGTGGCGTTCTGTTTCAAAGGCCCGCTCGCCAAGGCCGAAAATGCTGACAAGGCAGGATGGATCGGAATGTGGATAGGACAAGAAGGTAGGGAGATATATAAGACCTTCACATGGGAAAATGATCATGATACAGATGATCCTGTTAAAATATTGGACAAACTAGATGTTTACATCAGACCCAAGAAAAACAAACGAATTGCTCGTTACAAACTCCATCAAAGAAAACAAACTGAATCTGAGACATTTGATAATTTTGTCAAAGACCTGAAGTTATTGGCAATGGATTGCGAATACACAGACAGTAATGATGTGTTGATAGACCTGATCATCGCTGGTGTTAAACACAAAAAGGTACAAGAACGTTTACTTGATCAAGGTCAAGACATTACCCTTACCAAAGCTATACAGATAGGTCAACAATACGAACTTTCTCAAGCTCAGGTTAAAATGATGCGAGGTGAGGAAATATTGAAACTTAACTGTACAAAACAACACAAAAAACCAGCCAGCAAAATCAAGAAACCAGTAAGCCCAAATTTAAAGCCATCACAAACACCGAAAACATATCAGTCAAACAACTACAGGAATAAGTCAAACTCCGGTAACATTTGTGGGAGCTGTGGTTTTACTCATGACAGTGGAAAGTGTCCAGCAAAGGGAAGTACCTGTAACTATTGTAAAGGACAAGACCACTGGAAGAAAATGTGCAGGAAAAGACTAAGGAACAAAGTACACAGTATTCAGTCTGATGAATATGAGACAGATGATGATGAACTGTTGACAATAAACACCACTACAGTCACTGATGTTAGTGTCATAGATGACAAGTGGGTCACAACTCTCAACATAAATGGAGAAGATGTGAAGTTTCGCATTGACACAGGAGCAAGAGTCAGTATTCTTACAAAGAATCAGATTGACAACATGTCAGGAATCCGTCACATAAAGGATTCTCACAGAACACTGAAGTCATTCAGTAATCACAGGATTAAGCCTGTAGGATCTGTTACATTACCTGTCAAATATGGTAGTCGGAAAGATGAAATAAACTTTGAAATTGTGGACATTGACCAAGAGAACATAATCAGTGGTGATTCAGCTGTATTACTCGGTCTACTACAAGTTCCACCAGACAACTCCTTGAGCACAGATCCTGTGTTAGTACTCAGTTCAACTCCTGCTGAGGATGAGTTAACTCGTGACTTTCCTGATTTAGTCAAGACTACAGGAACTCTGCCAGGAGAGTACAGTCTCTCTATTGATAAATCAGCAGAAGGTGTAATTCATCCAGTGCGTAAACTACCTGCAGCTATTAAGCCCAAAGCCATAGAGAAACTCAGAGAAATGGAGGGAAACGGATACATCACTCGAGTCGACAGGCCGACTGAATGGGTCAGTTCAATGGTAGTCAGTGTCAAAGGAGACAAGATTAGAATATGTATTGATCCACGAGATCTCAATAGAGCTATACAAAGGGAACACCACCCTATGAAAACGATTGAGGAGGTCATAACAGATATCCCAGATGCCAAGATATTTTCAGTTCTGGATGCAAAGTCAGGCTTCTTACAGATACAACTGGATGAGGCATCATCTTATCTTACTACGTTCAACACACCAATAGGAAGATACCGTTGGTTACGCTTACCATTTGGAATCAAGTCTGCCCCTGAGATCTACCAGAAAATCATGGACAACATGATTGCAGGTATAGATGGTGCATTTGCCATCATTGATGACATTCTGATAGCTGGGAGAGATGCTAAGGATCATGACAGGATCTTGCGTCAGGTCGTAGAGAGAGCCACCAGCTACAACTTGAAGTTGAACTTTCAAAAATGTAAAATCCGTCAAAGGTCAGTACCGTACATGGGACATGTCATCACAGATTGTGGTCTGAAACCTGATCTGGAGAAGGTTAGAGCTATCATTGGAATGCCTACACCAAAAGACAAGGAGGGGATTCGTAGATTCTTGGGATTGGTTCAATATCTATCCAAGTTTGTCCCAAATCTCAGTCAGGTTGACGCCCCCCTGAGAGTCCTTCTGAAGTCAGATACAGAGTTTCAGTGGAATCATGAACAGAATGAGAGCTTCATCAAGCTTAAACAAATCTGCAGTGAACCCCCAGTACTAGCTTTTTACAATGTTAGGAAACCGGTAGAGATTGAGTGTGATGCAAGCAAAGATGGGCTAGGAGCTGTCCTAATACAGGAAGGTCGAGTTGTCGCCTATGCCTCTAGATCGCTAACAGAGACAGAAAAACGATACGCACAGATTGAAAAGGAAATGCTCTCAATAGTGTACAGTTGTAGCAAGTTTCACAGCTACATATTTGGAAAAGAGGTAACCGTCTACTCTGATCACAAACCTCTTGAGACACTATTCCGAAAGACACTCCTATCTGCCCCGATGAGGATTCAGAGAATGATGATCAGATTGCAGTGGTATGATTTATCTGTTGTATACCGCAAAGGCAAGGAAATGCATGTATCAGATGCATTGTCGCGCGCATTTCTACCTCCAAGAGTCATTGAAGAGGAGGAGGAAAAATCTGAGATTATCAGCATGATATCGGTCAGTGCTAGTAAGTACACCGAAATTCAGTCAGCAACACGCAGTGAACTCCAGATATTGATGGACACTATACACAAAGGATGGCCAGACTCGAAAAATGAGGTCTACATTGAGGCAAAACCTTACTGGGATTCCAGAGATCAACTCTCAGTACTAGATAGCATTGTCTATAAAGGCAGCAGGATAGTCATTCCACCCAGCATGAGGAAAGAAATGTTGAGTCTCATTCACAAATCTCACCTTGGGATTGCAAAGTGTAAAAGCCGTGCGAGAGAGGTTATGTATTGGCCATGCATGAATGCAGATATAGAGGACACTGTCAGTAACTGTTCGTTGTGCGCCGAACATCAGAAACTACAAGGTGCGGAGCCCTTAAGGCCCACTCCTACACCTGATCTTCCATACAGTCATGTAGGTTGTGACATCTTTGAGTTCGAGTCCAGGAAGTATTTACTACTCGTTGACTATTATTCAAAGTATATAGATGCTGTCAAACTAGTATCTGAAACTACTACTTCAGTCATTGAGGTCATGAAGTCTGTATTTGCCTGCCACGGGCTACCCAGGAAACTACGATCTGACAACGGACCGCAGTTTACATCAGCAGAATTCAAGAAATTCTGTCAAACCAATGAAATTATACATGAAACATCAAGTCCACACTTCCAGAGTTCCAATGGAGAAGCAGAAAGAGCCATTCAGACCGTGAAACAGTTATGGAGAAAAGCAGATGACAAAGAGTTTGCATTGTTAGACTATCGCACAACACCCTTAGAAGGTATAAACCTGTCACCATCTCAACTCTTGATGAACAGACGTCCCAGGAATGCACTACCAGCCTCAGAGAACATCTTAAAACCATCAACATATGACAGTAAGAAAGTCAAACAACACATGGACGCACAAAAGGCTAAGCAGAAAGTCTTCTATGATCAAAGAAGAGGAGTGAAAGAGTTGTCTCCCCTTGAAGATGGAACAGAGATCAGAATGAAAACTCCAGGTACAAAGGCATTAACACCAGGAACTGTTGTTCAAAAGTCAGATAAGCCTAGGTCATACATTGTCAGGAGTAATGAAAGCGGAAGGTTGTTTCGGAGAAATCGTAAACATCTGCGTAAAAGCACAGAAACTGCAAACTACACACAAGGTCGGTGACAGGGAGATGAGATGGAGGATATGAGTTCGAGTTCCAACACAGAACTCCAAACAGACATGTCAACATCAGTAGGGAACGAAGGTAACAGTTCTTCGCCAACAGAGCCAAATCCAGTTGTTACCCGGTCAGGAAGAATTGTAAACCCACCTAAGAGACTTGATTGTAAATAGTGCTATTGAAGAAAGTGTTAAGTGACATTTTCAGTGATTTATTTATGTTGCAGCAGCACTGTGTTAAAGGGCACAATAATCCCTGTGCTGTATGGCAGAACAAGAGTTCTGAATAACTTTTAGTTTATCAGTTGCTATGTAAAATTTCATTATTTCTCTTGATATTAATATCTACAAAGTAACCACAGTTTTAGAGACTGATAAGTTTGATAGGTTATCACAGACTGTGCTAAAACAAAAAAAGAACTCTGCAAATTTTATTATGTTTCAAAAATTCTTTATTACATAAGTTCATTTAAATGTTAGTAATACACTGTACTTCACATGGATATGTTCTGATAAGTAGATTATAACTGATTACATATGTTGTACATCATATTACTTTTCTTCTTAAAGTAAAGGGGATGTAATGTATGCATAAGCCTCCAAGGCATCAAGAGTTGTTCCCCTTGATAATGTTACGCTTCAAGCGTCTCTGTAACTTAGAAGGTTCTTGAATAAACATGGCGGCTTGAAACACGTTTCCAGTGTCTCTGGATTCTCTTCAATTATTACTGCTAAACGCAGTCTGTAAACGTTACAGTTTCTTTCTTCTGCATAGTGCATCACATCATATAATGTTCGAATATTTTCCCCAATAAAGCGCCCTGATAAGAATCCTGTCTGGTCATTATTCCCAAGTTTTCCTAATATAGTTTTTATCCTACGAGAAATTACTCCAGAGGCTATTTTATAAGTGATATTCAAAAGTGAAATTGGTCTCCAATTTTTCAAAAAATGACGTGGTTTATCTCCCTTTGGGATACATGTTATTATAACTTGTCGTTGTGTGACTGACAGCTGACCATCTGTAAAACCATAATTAATTGAACGAACAACAAAATTACCTAAATATTTCCAAAAAGTCTCAAAAAAATCTGAAGTAAAACATGAAAAATAATAAAAGTCCTAGGTCTGACACCCAGGACTTTTATTATTTTTCATGTCTTTCAATGTTTTCCCTGCTTCCCCCAATGTTATTCTACCCTCTAAACTGCTAGACTCAACATCATTTTACTTTGGAATATTACAGTCACGAAGATGAACATCTAAATCAGTATTGTCAACATCCCTATGTCTATATAAATCTACATAAAATGATTGTACTTCTTCTAAAATATTTTTCTGCTTTGTAATAATTTCATTGTTCTCTTTCTGAATTTGTGGAATAACTTTGGAAATCAAGTTTCTGTTTTCCAAATTAAAAAAATAAGATGTAGGTTTCTCTCCCTCTTCTATCCATTTTGCTCTTGATCTAATAATACTATCTCTGATATTTTTCAAACGTATACATTCTAGCTCCCTTTTCTTATCTCCTAATTCTTCCTGGTCTGGGTTTATACTATCTTCTAAAATTTCTATAATTTTCTTAAGGTCTTCTTCTTTCAAGTTCTGTTGCTTTTTCCTGTAAGATGCGTAAGATATAGATTTGCCTCTAATTTCCATTAACAATGTTTCTAAAAATAGTTGATCATTAATTAAAAACTGAATATCACTATTGGGAATAAGTGATAATGAGTTAAAATTATACACTGGAAGACAATATTGTAACTTAATGTTCTCGATGCAATTTTTTACCATATCTAAATATTCATGTTCCAGTAATAAAGAATTGTTCAGTTTCCATAAGCCTTTCCCTTTCTTAAATTCATTAATTTTAAAAGTTATAACTGGGGCTGAATGATCTGATCTGTAACCCGGTTCAATGCTTGATTTTTTTATACTGGATAAAAGGTTGTCTGAAATAAGGAAAAAATCTAATCTGGCCTGTTTTATTGGATTACTTCTCCGCCAAGTAAATCTCTTAGTATCCTGGTGATGCTCCCTGTATATGTCAATAAGATTATAATTTTCAATAAGTTCTAAAACCTTGTTTCTAGCAGCAACATTGTTAATATTTCTGTATGAACGATCATAATCTAACTCTGGGTTCAATACTAAGTTAAAATCCCCACATATAATCATATTATCATTCCCAAAACTATCAATAGTATCTGAAACAATGTTATAAAAATCTGGGTTGTCTTGATTTGGGCCGTACAGAGTAATTAGTGTTGTTCTGGAACCCTCAATGGTAATATCAAGAGCAAGGAAATTTCCATTCAAGTCTTTCTTTTCTTTGTGCACTTTACTTTCAAAGTTAGAATTTAAAAGAATAGCGATACCACGTGAATTTGATTTAAAAGAACTAAAATAACTGTCATATCCCCACTCATTTCTTATGTTATTTTCCTGATCTAGTGTAAAATGGGTATCCTGCAAACAATAAATATGATACTTCTTGTCTCTTAGATACGCAAACACATCTTTTCTTTTTACTCTATCTCCAAGGCCCTGGCAGTTAGCCGAAAGCACACTGATATCGTTCATGTTATTTCAGAGTTTGCACATGATAAAAGTAAGATTGAACCCCCAAATGGACAGGCAGATAAAGAGGAAATAAAGGGAAAGACAGGTTTACATAAAAGCATATATATAAAGTCAAGATAAATAAAACTACCACCCAACACTTACAGAACTCTCAAGTCACTGCACCTAACCCTCAAATTTTCTAATACCGGAAATGATCCTATGCCGGAAGTTACTACAGTGTAGTAAAGACTAAGCCGAAAATAGCTCTATAATCCGGAGACGTCAATGGTAAAATTAGAGCCACACTTATCACTCGTTTCCGAAAAATATATTAATAATAAAATTGATGAAAGCTAGAAAGTGAGTAAAAGCAAGACATACGTAGCCAACATAGCATATTATAAGCGTAAATAGCATTACTCCATACTTCGCTACAGTTAGCGTGTTCACTAAAGTCGAACGAAAGATATTTTTAGCCAAAACATATTATAGCTGCTTACCTGTATGTTTTTTTATAGGTCCAATATTACATCCATTTCCACGCTGAATAACTTTCCCAATATAAAAGAAACCCGAGACACACACACATATATATATAGATTTCAAAGTATACACCAACACCATAGTACTGTCACATATATATAGGCGGATCGGTAACCAGAAAAATACACTGGCGTTATGTCCGTACCGATCACATATTGCCTATGGCATAGTATAATTTTTACTAAAGTACCTAAGGGACTTCATTCGTGGGTACTGAACCCGGAAGCATTTAAATGTGACCTCAGTCCCATCAACGAGACAGCGCTCTAGCATTTGCCTGTAGAACTGTGTGTCAATCGCTGGACTGTGTGTCCGAATGGACGGAGCTGTGTGGCCGTCGTTTGTATATGTGTTCTTGTGTTATGTAAATGTAATAAATTACTACAATAATAAATTGTCGGCGAGTATAATTCGGAGCGGGTTTCGCGCCATTTGTCACGTTTTCAAAATCACTGTAAATTGTTCACAACATCTATTTTGGGACGTGTATTGCTCAAGCAGATCCTTTGGAGTTAATTGATTAATTAACTCTATTCTGTTGTATTCCCAAAAATTGTTTTCAGTGTGTTTTTGAAATCGAGCCGGCAGGGGCGCCGCTGGAATTTGAACGTTAACATTGCACAGTGGCTTAAGACCCAGAGCTGGTAAACGACCCCTACATTACACAGTTCTTATATATCCGTCAGTGGATGGAATGTGACAGGAGCAAAGTATAATTTCCTCGTCAGTTATTAAAATGCGAGATATAGGAGTTGTCTTTCTTCCCTGTGACTTTGAAATGAGAAGAATTTGTGTTGAAGTTTTTAACATAATTGACCTCTGAAAGTATATCATGGTAACTTTGTTCAGTAATATCGAATATCGAATTGGTTCGTCAGAACAAGTCATTGAAAGGTTTAGACAAATTTGACCTCTGTGACCTTGAAAAAGGGACAAAGTTATTTCATTTGAAAGCTTTTTTGGCTCCATTCAGAGAAGCATCAATCTCAAAATCATAGTTCTTGGTCTTTTGGTTCTTCAGAAGTCGTTTATAGCTTAACATATACTCTGTGACCTTTAAAGTAGGTAAAGGTCATTTTTGTTTGAAAAGTTTGTGAGACTACACCTCGTATCTACCATCCAAATATAACTCTACGCCTTTCGGTTCTTCAGAATAAGTCATTTTAAGTTTTTGACACATATGACCCCTTTGACCTTGAAAATTGGTCAATGTCATTTTCAATGGAAACATTGTAAGGCTGCACTTAAAAAAAACCCAGCTGAAAAACATGATTCCAGACTTTACAGGTCTTTTAAATGAGTTGTTTAGATGAAAAGTCAACAATGGTGCTTGTTAACGTGTTGGCTAAAGGTCAACGCAGTCAAATAACAAGTGTTTCACTGTAAACTGTTCCTCGTATGCCATGCATTGAGGCTGGACTTCACGTTTCGGCTATGTATGAAGGGTCTATCCGGAGACGGACAAGGACAATCTCGTCTCGGCGCCTTATCACTGATTACTCTTTCAAGTGAGTGTAATGTGTTGTCTACGAGTTGCAAGATGCAAGATACAAGAAACTTTATTAAAAGTCCCATACATGTAAACACAGAGCATTAGCTCATGAGAGCTATTATTGCGACAAACATATGTAAATAACAATAACATGCTGTATAACAAGTAAAGGGAGATGATCACATTTACAGTATTATCAAAAATAAAAAGCAATAATAAAAATCACAGAAAAAGAAAGTATCATATCCCAAGGTTCCTAAGAGACTGTGAGGTCCCTCCTAAAAAGGCCTCTGGGACATGACACTTTAGATACAATAAATATATAAGAATAGTATTAATATGAAAAGCAATAAATGTGATCACAGATAAGTAGTATTCAGAATAAGTTAAAAAAAAGACATAGTAAGTAGTGAATACTTGTATATCACACAAGAATTACTTAGGGTTTAGGATTAAAACACTATTAAGTGGAATATACACACAATGCTTATATAGCATAGAATAAAAATTGACAGAGTATACACTAATATAGTGTGAAATTAAAAAATAATATCGATATCAATTAACAAAAATAGTAAAGTTTTGTCAAAATTTAATATTAGAATGTATGGAATAAAAATAAAAATAGGATGATGCAGAAATATAGAACAGGATTAATATATATACGAAATGAAATAAAACAACAATAGTATATACAATTCAAACTGTCAAGTAGCAGAGGTAACCAGGGCACAATATGAAGTATTGACTCTGTAATAAATGTACCTCTATGTGTTCAATATTGCTACATATAGTGTACATTTAACATATGTAGTTTTTATCGTGTGTAGTCAACCAGTGGTATTACACCCTTCACTTATATTTTCCACTGATAAATGCATTCACGTCTAGATTATTTAGGTCATATCATCTTATATAAGACCAGCGGTCACTGACCCGGGGTCGATCTTTTTCTCTCTCCTTGAAAGACAACAAAATAATTTTAATATAAGTTGACATAACTTGTTTCATAATTGTTGTAAAATAAACAAAGTTTATATTTGTAACAAAATAATTAATAGCATAATTTTGGAATAAGGACATCGCTACACTTGCTGATACAGAATTGTCGGCGTAATAGGGGACCTGGGACGAGCGGTTCGGCAGGGGTATTGGCGCGGCGAGGAACGCCAGGAGCCAGGAGCGCCAGGCAAGTGACGCCGGCGTATAGTTGCCGACCATGTAGATCCCGGTGACTCCGTATCGGCGAGGGTAGCGGCGGCCGCACGCACTTTATGTAAATAGCTACTTTTATCCCATCACATGTAAATACTTAATTCGCCAAAATAAACCTGATTGAACTATTTCATTGTTGCTGGTCATATGTTGCTGTTTACGTTTTTACGACAAGAACCGAGGAAAATGTAACAACTCAGAATGTATTGCCACACTAATATTTATAACCTTTTAGTGAGCGGTTTAAAATCAGTAGAATGAATGTTAAAAATCAACAGAGTTGTTAAGTAATGTGTATTTACTTACCATAGTTAGCACTTATGTATGTTGTATTTACAAAAAAGAATTGGTTGAAACTTTAGAATCAATAATTATCTTGATGGTGTATTAAACAATTTCATGTGACTTGTAACTCGTGTAGTTTTACACTGTCTAAATAACTACGCGGGATATTAGGTCTGACATCGAGCAAAAATACATATTTTTTGGTAATTCCTGTACTAAAAAATGTACACTCACCTGAATATACACAAATAATTTATAACACAAGGAAAAATTAACTAGAATTTTGTTTTTGTGAACAAAAACATATGTTACCCCTTATTAGCCAATAGAAAAACTCCGGTATATAAAATTAACAAAGAGCATTAAAGTACATTAAAACTTTAGCAAGTTTGGTCAACGTAGGTGAAACTAGAACACTGACAGTTCAGTAAGGGCCCCGTCTTGTGGCAATATATCCCCCATAATCATCAAGAAGCAATCTGCCCATATAGCTGAGCTTATACTATGATGTTAGTCTTGTTTCCTTACACTTCCATATTTGCTGGGCTAACAGAAATGGAAATACCGGTGCACTACTCATTTGTTAGCTTTGATTTGTTTTATTTCACCTTAAATACCTCCCCATCAAGAGCCAGGGTTAAAGTAAGAGATCCACTTTGTCTTTGACATTTGTACCCAAATGACATTGACCTTTAACCCAGTGACCCTGATCTTTGGTCAGTTAACGCATTTTTCAATTCCGACCAACTTTGCTTCATAATATCATAACAAAATGTTCATCAGTGACCTCGAACCTTTGGAACCCGTAACCTTGAACTTTGGTCAGTTGACTCCGTGTTAAGTTCTGAACAACTTGGCTTCATAATAACATACAAAAAATGTTAATTAGTGAAAAGATACAAAATTTGACATTGACCTTTGGTCAATTGACTCCTTGTTTAATTCTGACCAACATTGATTCAAAGTGTCGAAACGAAATGTTCATCAGGGAAAAGATACAAAATGTAACCTTGACCTTTGACCTTTGGTCAACTGACTCCTTGTTTAATTCTGACCAACTTTGCTTCATAATGTCATAACAAAATGTTCATCAGGGAAAATATACAAAATTTGACCTTGACCTTTGACCCAGTGACCTTGACCTTTGGTCAGTTGATACCTTGTTTGATTGTGACAGACGGACGGATGAATTAGTAAAGGGCACCCGCATCTTCGATGTGGGGCCCTAATAACATGGAAGTTATGTTGTGGACAAACTTCGGTATTAAAATTAAACAAAGGGGCATTCCTCTGTATATAGTGACGCACGAGACCTAATTCCAGTGCACTGCACACTTTCTGTGAGTGATGCAGGTATACTTCAAGTTTGATAAAGATATCTTTAATGGTTTAGAAGTTATGCCGTGGACAAACTTCGGTATTAGAAATAAACAAAGGGCCATAACTCTGTATATAGTGGGGCATAAAATCTGATTTTGGTGTGAGAAATTCCCCCTTCCCAAGATACATCAATATGGTAAGTATGGTCAACGTAAGTGAAATAACATAGAACTTATGCTCTGGACAAACTTCGGTATGAAAATTAAACAAAGGGCCATAACACTGTATATAGTGGGGCACGAGACCTAGTTCAAGTGCTATGCACACCTTCTGTGGGTGATGTAGGTATACCTCAAGTTTGATTAAGATATCTTTAACGGTTTTAAATGTACGGGCCGGACAAGAATTTACTGAAAATATGCACTTATTTGACCTTTGACCTTGAGGTGAAGGTCACAGTGACCTAATTCTAGTGCACTGCACACCTCCTGTGGGTGATGCATGCATACCTAAAGTTTCATCAAGATATCTTTAAAGGTTTAAAAGTTATGGCCCGGACAAGTCCGATTAGAAGAACCATAAGAAGATTTGGTTTGGTTTGGTTTTATTTTGTTTAACGTCCTATTAACAGCTAAGGTCATTTAAGGACGGCCTCCCCTGTGTGCAAGATGCATGCGTGTAGTGTATGTGTGTGTATTTTGGGAGGCTGCGATATGTTCGTGTTTGTCTCCTTGTGATAGCGCGGAACTGATGCCGACTTTATAGTGCTACCTCACTGAAACATACTGCCGAAGACACCCAGCAGGACGCCCCACCCGGTCACATTATACTGACAACGGGCGAACCAGTCGTCCCACTCCTAATTTGCTGAGCGTTAAGCAGGAGTAGAAACTACCATTGTTAAAGACTTTGGTATGTCTCGGCCAGGGGACAGAACCCAAAGCCTTCCTCACAGGGGCGAACGCTCAACAAATGGCCAAACGTGAGGCATTGTATAGGGAGACATTAGGAAGAAGAAAGTTATTTAGAAAGGAGAGAAGAGATAAGGTCCCAAATTTAGTCGCCCCTTACGATCATGCTAATGGGGGCAGCAAGTACAATTCTTACGCCCTACCTGCAGGGTCTCCATAAGAAGAACCAGTACTAATACAATATGGTTCCCTTCATTCGAAGAGGAGACATAATTACCATGATAAAATCTGACGTGTAGTGTTTCTGTATTTACATACGACTAAAAACGATCATGTGTTCTGTATCTGCTTAAGGCCATACACATTTTGGTGTTTGCTTTTTAAATTTTGTATGTATGATAAATACTTGAGTATCTGGTGTTGACAATCACTACTTGAGTATCTTGTATGTTGTAATGATAGTAAATACTTGAGTATCTTGTATGTTGTATTGATAGTAAATACTTGAATTTCTTTGTTGTACTTAGAACGATAAATACGTTAGTATTTTGTTTGTAGTTAGAACGATAAATACTTGAGTATCGTGTATGAATTAAGAACGATAAGTACTTGAGTATCTTGTATGTATATAAAACGATAAATACGTTAGTATCTTGTTTGTATTTAGAACGATAAATACTTGAGTATTTTGTACGTTCTTGGAGCGATAAAAATTTTTGAATATCTTATATTTGCAATGTTTTTCATCAAAATATTGAAAGGTAGCCAGAAAAATGTAATTTATTGCTCAGGAAGAGTTTTGTAGATGTGCTGAGATTTTAAAACATAGGGTTCTTTACTTCACCTGCAAAAATAACGACATTTTGTTCCAGTATAAAACTCATTATAACCAAATGAAAAGGGCCTTGATTATAGCACCATTTTAGAACACGTCCCTCTGCCATCCAGTGATACATAAATATAGCAAGGTTGGTAAACATATGTGAAAACGTATAACGACCAGCAAGCCATACCACACAAGTTATGTTATAGAAGGACGCATTTAAATGTATTGATACGTTCGGTGATAGTGTAGGACTACGGCTATCAAATCGTTAACTAGTTAGTTCGTTTGAAACGGCTGACGGATCAGTATCGCTAGCAATGGAAATGAATGAACAAGTTACTGACAAGTCAAGAAATCATGTTGATGCTGATGGAATGTGTGAGCCGTCTTCTGACATAACCAGTACTTGTGTAGCGGACTGTCCACCTACAGTAGACATTGCGATGGATGACCAACCAGACAGTCTACTTTACAACGTATCCGACCGACCACCTATCCTTGTATCCATCTTTCTGGCATTTCAGGTAAAGAGGGAATGCAAATGTTAGTCTACCATGTGTTCTGATAATACCAAGGTACAATATATAAGACTTTGTATAATGACGCACAATAGCGTACAAAGGAAAAGTATCCACAATTAAACACCCAAACTTACGTTGTCAGGCATCACACTCTTATTTGTACCTACATTGTAGTGTATTCATGAAAATTTTATGATGTATTTGTACACAATTTGTAGAATAAATACAGGAAAAACTCAATATAATGACTGTCGTTTTATTTGCTTGCCACCTCGCTGATTGCCTATATATATGAACGTATTTTTTTCAGAAAAAATCTTTCTAATAGTTTCTTCAATTTATCGACATATCCTTTTATTTGCCAAACATTCTCTGGACAGATATTGGCAGTATAATAAGGTTTTATTGTATATTAACTTTAATTCACACCTTACAGTTAAAGATACCCTTTATTTTACAATTTATAATCAAGTTAAATCAACTGATAAATGCAAACTGTAAGCCATCAGAATCTCAAAGCTGCCTCACTTCTCAGCGTTTAGATGTGAATGCGGGGCTACTGAGCTCATGTTTTCAATTACTTCCACCGGGCTTCAAGGATGATCTTTATTGCACCTATGAAGGTAATAGATACATGCTAAAAATGAAACTGCAACATACAATTAGTTGGTTTCATCGTCAAAGCTAGCGACAACGAGGTGGAAATTCAAACTGGGCTAGACTACTGTTAAAACAGAAAGGGAGGAACATGAACTCACTTGATTGTGTGAATTTATAAAAGTAGAGTAGAGTAGAGTAGAACAGGTTAACTTCTAATTAACGATGAATAAAGTGTGTTTATCATTAACCCTGTCAGTAGTTATAAGTGATATTAGCATGGTTACGGAAAATCTGGAGGACTAAATCTCCACCTTGCACCTTAATTTTTATTTTATTTTATTTACAATCTTATTAACTAAGTTGGTTATTTAAGGACGTGACTCCATGTGTGTAATGTATGCGTGCCTGAGTGTATGTGTGCAGCAGGCAGGGTATGTTGGTGTATTTGCATTCTTGCGATAGCGCGGATGTGATGCCGACCTTTAGAGTGCTACCTCACTTAAATACCATGCCGAAAGCACCTAGCACAGTATTTCGCCGGTCACATTATACTATCAACGGTGAGACAGTTGTTGGCATTCCCCTCAATGCTGAACGTTCAGCAGGGAATGAAAACTACCATTTTTAAGGACTTTTATCTTTTTCGGCTTCGGGATAGAACCCATTGCCTACTCCACCCGAGATCAGCATTAAAACCAAACACCGAAATGTTGCCAAGCAAGAAGGCTGCTAGAAGAAGAGAGAAATATAAAGATCGCAAATATTGCAATGGGTGCAGCAGATTCAGTTTGGTCGCTTTCGTGTCCCCAACGGGAAGGCACGAAAGCAAATCCCCAAGTATGCAGGGGGTTCCCATATCAATCGCCTCTTACGATACATGGAGTAGGTGACAGCAAGTGTATACTTTTCTCGATCCCTGACCTACAGGGATGGTGTAACTAGAAAGATGAACGTTAGACACACACATGCCTACACTGTAATTGATACAATATTCCAACAGTGAAACTATGCAATACAGCTGTTAAGTCATTTGGTACTCATCGGTGATGTTCGATGCCAAAAGGCTAACACATTAGTCTAATCTGTGATTGAAACAGAATTTGGTACATTAAACCCCTCATTATATGAATTATAAAAAATAGAGGAACACTCTTATTTTAGATACATGATGAGTCTACAGACATGTATTATGAACCCTGCCACACATAAACATATCAATAAATAGACAACTCTCATTCATTCTCTCAAATGATAAACTACTTCTTGAAAAGTGCTAAACAATTATATTATCTTTCCCTTTACCTAACTAAACTTAAAGTGTTGGGTTACTTTTTGAACGCTGTTGGGGCCCATGAACGACATTTTCATTGACATGTCATAGTTTATAGCAGTTAAGTTGGCGCAATCAAACTGATTTTGCTAACATGCCGTTTGTGATAAGCTTCCCATGGATGTTAATTGAATAGTGTAATGACACTGATCTAAAGAAAAATTAAGAACATAATTTTATTGTTTTCGTGCAGAAAAACAGTCAAGTAGAGACCCGATCATGTTGCAGCTGTTCTTCAATTCTTATAAGCACGTCAGCGGTGTAAATGGCCACAAAGTCGGTCAATAATACTGCTGAACAGAAGGGGCAGTGGAAAATCCCTTTATTGTATAAATTCAAAAACTTAGAGAAATACAAGTTGAATTAAAAATAAACACTGAGCAAAGTGTGTATATCATAAACCGTGTCACTTCGGTGGCTACGAACGTTACGACAAAACTCAGGGATATTAAAATTCGCAAGCTGTCTACTATCTTGTAGTTTGTACATTTATAAGTACTAAAATACACATGTAATAGCATTTAAACTGGTTAATAAAGATGAAACGTTTACGATAAACACATCACTGCATAATGCCATATGCTAATCGGCATCTCCTACTGCAGCAGTCGTTAATCTAGGCACGTTATCTAACACGCTGAATGTTCTTGTTATTGTACCGTGACGGTTTCACAAACAACGGTGACACTAACGACAAACCGTGGTTTGGTGGCGCATAGATAGAGCACTCTCGTTTCACGAAGACGGCCGAGGTTCGATTCCCTCATAAGTCAATAGATTATTTGGTGCTCTGCCCAATCACGTAGTTTTTCCCAGGAGGACCGCTTTCCTCCAATAACCAGGCCCCTTGCGCGCTCTCATACGGACCAACAAGAGTATTTTATATGAAATGATTAAATATGAACTTGTATCATAATAGTAAAATAAATATTGTGATAGTTTAACCTTGTCTTTTTATAAATTGACATAAAAATGATAAAAGGAATATCGTTATTGATTTTCTGTATTCATTATATAAAAATAAATTCTAACTATTGAAATTTCATGCATAAAATTAAAAGATAATTAAGATTTCAGAATATTTAGGTGTGTTCACAAACGTAAATTCCATGCTTAATGAGCAGAAGGGAATTAAATCTATTAAAACAAAACATATGAGCCTGTTACCGACGAAACATGTACCGGGGTAGGTAAACCACTGAAGTGTAAGTGTGTTTTATTGTTATACAATCATGTCAACTATTCGTTTTTCAGAAAGGTTGCCTGGAGTTTGTATTGTAGAGGACGACCATCCAGAACGTTCACTTTAAAATGAATCCTTCCAACTGCCTATCTGTATGTCTGTCTTTCTGTCATTTTTGTGCCAAACGAAGCCTATCCGTCACGTTATAACAATAAAATGTTTTGTTTATTTCTGTATCACAGCAAGCCCTGATGTCTGTCTCCGCATCCCTGGTCGTTTCCTCACTTGTTGCCGACGTTGCTTGTGCATCCGACTTTCCGGACATCAGGACAACCCTGCTGAGCTCTACTCTATTGCTGAACGGGGTCACGACAGCAATGATGTTAACCCTGGGTATCAGGTAAGTCGACTGTAACCATGATCAAATATAAGACCTAGTAAATATAAAAGAGATAAGTAACGGTGAAATAAACAGCTCGTCAACACTTCCAAGAAACATTTTGTCGGTAAAAGAGCAAACATGATGAAAGACCTTTTCATGTTCTTAAAAATCCATATTCAGATAACTCCACTTCAGCGTCACAATACAACTGTAGTCCTAATTTAATAGTATTACGTATGCAAACACAGGTTTTGATAATGGCTTGGTTGAGTAAAACCGTTGTTTATGAGGATGATTGTGAGGTTTTGGAAACCAATAAAAACAAAGCAGGTCCGTATCGTTGCCACTGAATAATATTCGCAGGTATAGATTGGTAGAGTTATGACGGGTTCCAATGATATCCACATGCATGTATCATTATCTTATTATTCACTTCTGTTACAGGCTGCCATTATATCAAGGCCCATCTGCTGAGTACGTGATTCCTCTTATGGCGATACAACTTATAGACAAAGATTTCTGTAAACTTCCTGGTAAGTAGGTCAACGTTTTAAAAGAATATATCTCTGCACACTTCGTGGTATGTTTTTTTTCAAATCAAAGAGAGAGAGATTTCTTCAAATTTTCTGGTAAGAATATGAGAGAGTATGGTGAAATACTTATACATCCGACCGTTGAAAAAAATATTTTCTCGGATAGGCTACTTCATTTAATGAGGGACAAAAGAGCAAACAAACTTCTTGTTCCTATGGTTTCTTTATATGTAAGTTTCAGACAACATAAAGCCTTATATAAGATGGGTTGAATCCTCCCGAAAGCAATGTTTTCAGTTTTGCGTTTTTACCTCCAAACGTGGGAGAGACCTAATCCGAACCTATAGAGGATGTATGATTTTGTGTTTATTGTTTTTGTTGTTTTTACAGAGCATGGTTCTGCTTGAATGCTATTCGATCGAAATGTTTCAAACTCTATCGGCATATACTGGCAAAATAATTTCTTTATAATATTATTCTAAAACAAGAGGCCCAAGAGGGCATGTATCGCTCACCTGAATATTTAAGCAGTCATAGCAAAATATTCTCATTGAATATTATATTGTACTAAAAGAAAATCCCTCGCAAACTTTTTTGGCTCCATCTGTTGAAACTACCAGCAAAATATTATTATAAGAATCTATGCTTTTTGATTCTTCTTCAGAAGTTGCCTGACATATTTTTTTCCTGTGACCTTGTAAGTAGGTCAATGCCATTTTCCTTTTCAAATTGGTTAGCTCTATTCCAAAAAGCCACCAGCCAAATCTTATGAATCCATTTCTTTTAGTTCTTGGGAACAAATCCTTTAAAATGTTGTTGACCTCTGTGACCTCTAAAGTAGGTTGAGGTCATTTTCATTCGCAAACTTTGGTGAGCTCTATCCCAGGAAGTCACCAGTCAAACAATATAATTTTATGCTTTTTAATTCTTCAGAAGAAGTAGTTTGAACCGTTTGACATATTTGAACGCTGTGACCTTGAAGGTAAGTCAAGGTCATTTTCATTTGCAATTTCTTTTGGCTCTTTCCCAGGAAATAACCAGCCAAATATTAAGGTTCTATACCTTCCACTTCTTTAGAAGAAGTTGTTCTAAGCATTAGACATATCTGATTCCTGTGACCTTGAAAGTAGGTCAAGGTCATTTTCATTCTCAAACTTTGTTAAGCTCTTTCCCAGGAAGCTACAAGCCAAATATTTAGGTTCTATAACTTTTAGTTCTTCAGAAGAAGTCGTTTTAAGCATTAGACATATCTGACTCATGTGACCTTGAAAGTAGGTCAATGTCATTTTCGTTTTCAAACTTTGTCGGGCTCTATCCCAGGAAGCTAACAGCGAAATATAAAGATTCTATACCTTGTAGTTCTTCAGAAGAAGTCGTTTGAAGCATTTGACATATTTGACCCCTGTGACCTTGAAAGTAGGTCAAACCAAAATTCATTCTCAAACTTTGTTGGGCTCTATCTCAGGAAGCTACCACCCAAATATAAAGATTCTATACCTTTCAGTTCTTCAGAAGAAGGTGTTTGACATATTTGACCCCTGTGACCTTGAAAGTAAGTCAAGGTCATTTTAGTTCTCAAACTTTGTCGGGCTCCTACCAACAAAGCTTTTAGCCAAATACATGACTCTAGGCCTGTCCGTTCTTCACAAGAAGTTGTTTAAAGGAAAAGTTGACGGACGACGGACGACGGACGGACGGACGCCGCACCATGACAGAAGCTCACTTGCCCTTCGGGCAGGTGAGCTAATAAACTTATTTGATTTCCTTTTTTTAACTTGTTATTTAATAAATGTGTTTTATAAACAACACAACGTAAAACGTCTGATCATGCAAGTAAACACAATTCGTAACTTTCAAACCGAACAACAACCATATATTTTATTAACAGAAAAATATCACTTTATAGTCAAAACAACATCCTGATTGAGACCATACTATACTATTATCTTCAATTATAACACCAAACCAACCCTCCATCACACAATTGCCGCCCAGGAAAGTAAGTATGCTTTCAAAAACCAATAAATAAATACGCTTATCTGTTAAAATTCGATAATGCGTTAAAAATCTCTTAAATAAGAATGTTAAAGATCTTCCTTGTAAACCAAGGTTATAACATTAAGACTAAGTGCTCCGTAAAATAGGTCGATCATTTTATGTGGCAAGTAGTATAAACGTCACAAATGTTGAACGATGACAATCACACGTTTTTGTTCGTGTAAACGGTCAAATGCCTTGTCAAACGTCATGACTGATATACCTTATTAAGAATATGAATGTAAATTGGAGGTGCTGCATGACGGCCCACGACCGATTGAATATTTTTTAGCATTAATTAATTAATTGGCATAAAATACACATCAAAACAAGGTTAATTCCTCAAATAGAATAAATTTGTGACTGCAGCGCCCCCTACATTGATTTTCAGGATGCCCTGGACATCATGTGACTTCAATGGATTATATTTCGAAATACACGAAACAAAATAAAAATATTCCTCTGTTGTTAACTGACACTCTCCTTACCCTTTTCGATGGTATATAGCAATTTCCCATGTGTGATGTCACTTTCTTGCAAATTATATTTTTACTCATTACTTATGCCCACTTTTCGGAACTTCTTTCCCCTTATCCCCTTATCCTTTTGCTAAATATCAAAGTTCGGAGTGACGACTGTCACACGATCATAGAAAGAGTATTGTACAATATTAATTCGACCAAAATTTAGTATGGGACATTATGGGACATTATGGGACATTATGGGTAGATTAGAATAAGATTTTGTATAAATTAGGAATTTGACTCATGTATAACTACTTAAGTTAACAAGGGCTGCTTCAGTAGCCATTAGTTTCCGAGCCTTTTCTTCAGGTTGGTAAGTATGGATTTTAGAAGGTTTCTGTATCACAATCAGTTAAGTGTTTATGTGTGATTTTTTTTATTACGAGTACGGTAGTTACCTTCATCAGACAAATGACCAGCTAAACGTACATGCCCGAAGTGACAATTACAATCGCCGTCCATTAGGTTACGCTATACGTGTTTGTACACTTGTTGTACAGTAAGATGAATCAAACAGACATATCGATTACCTTTCACTTTGTTTAAAGCCTGGTGATAGGTGTGCGATAGTCTATTGGCCCATCATCTTGATTCAGAACTGGACCCATATTGCGTTTTCTCTCCCACAAGAAGATTGTTCTCGCTGTACACCCCAGCCAATAACTTGATTGTACGGTATGGCCAGTTCGTTGGTAAAACATGCGGCTATTGGTGTTTCATGGATTACAACTTGATCGATTGACATTGAATGTCACCATGAAAAAGGTGCGATTTCATATTTATTTATCAATGGATGTTGATTATGAAGAAGAGGGGGTGGGTTAACCACGTTTAACCACGTTCGTTATTTAAAAAGCAACACAAGCATCAAATACGGGTGTCTGTTACGCCTGTCGATACAGGATAGATCATTAACTCAGTGGAAATCTCTTTGTCATCGTATTATATTGGAATGCACAACTACATTTAGAGAAGATTAAAAACTGAACAAGCAGATCTCCGGACGTGATAGAAATACTGAAAAAGGGTGATACCTCTTTTAAAGATAGTTGAATCCAAATGTGAAAGCACTACTTGGTCATAATAGTATAGCCTGCATGTTTTCGGGAATATCCAGAGAAGATTTAAAAGCTGGAAAATTCGAAGACAAATATTCTTTTAAAAATCCTCTTAACTTAATTCTGAAAGTCATGGTAATAAATCATACCTTGTCATGCTGAATCTTGGAGGATGAAAATGATCAATATTGATATCGCCCATTATGTGCTCTTTTATCTTTAATGCTTCTTAGTTTTCCCCGTGTGGTAACAGTTTGACGCAAACTGGCCTTATTCTCGTAGTTCATTTTCTATGGTTTCCTCTTCCTGAAGACATTTTGTTTAGTTTGCAATTTACTTATCTTTATTGGTTTGAAGTACATGTATAAGCTGGAATTTGGTTGGGTCTTTCAATGGGGGAAATGCGAAGTGCCCAAAATAGTAAAGCTAACTAACGGTTATCAATCCAACTAAAATTTTTCATGTTTTTAGTTTGGAACATATCAAATATCATGTGAAAAGAAAGCCTATGTAGATGCTCCTATATTGTCAGATCATTGTACCATCAAGATCGGGTATCATGTGATATTTGAGGAAAAGCAAAGGGGGTAGCGGAAAAGAAGTTCCAAACAGTAGGCAAATCCAGTGAATCACCAAAAAAAGGTTTAAATGCTAGAAAGATTAATTATTAGAGAAAATTTTAATTGTGGAAAGATGGAACACGAGTTTTATCTTGTTACTGTAATGCTCTAACAAAAGAAAAAAGTCCAAAATTGAAAAGTCATTTTTTGGGAGCAAATTTACATGTTTATGAATATTTGCAAAAAAATAATTTTAAAGGTATTTGTATATGTAACTTAAATGTGAAAGCAAATTGCATGTATGTTTTTGTTATTGCCACACTGATTCCATTAAAGGCACATGGGGAGGTACCATTTTTGAACTTCAATGCAGGGGGCGCTGCAGTCACATTTGCGGTCCAGAAGAAGTTTAAGCGTTGTTTTAATACGTAATTTGTTCAAATTAATTGGTTTACACTAAAACATCCAAAATTTATCATAGGCCGATTTTCACCTTCTATGTAACACCTCATTTGTACACTATAAGGAGCCCAACTCAACCCCGGACCTAATACGACTTCTCTGATGAACTCCACGGGCGACTTAGACGTTAACATTACAGTCAGCGATGAGTATACTTTGAGGCGGCAACTGGCATTAACAAAATTACAAGAGGTGAGACATTATATAACAAGAATAGTTTTATTCTATTTCATATCAGTTCTTCTGGTCACTGTAAAACGCCCCGTCAAATGTTCGACCTCTTGTTCGAAAATATATCATTCGTGCGTTGTCACGTTCAAACTCGTATACTTACAGATGCTGCTCAATAAAAAATGTTTCCAGGACTGTCTGACCATATGCGTTAACAGCTATATCACTTCACCGTTAGTTACAGGGCTGTCTGATAGTTGCATGACTTTACCGTTAGTTTTAGTAAGGTCATATAAGTTGAGAGTAATATGACTTTATCGTTAGTTCCAGGGCTGTGTGATTCTATATGTTGACAGTAATATGACTTTACTGCTAGTTTCAGGGCTTTTTGATCCTTTAAGATGGCAAATATATGACTTTACCCTTAGTTCGAGGGCTGTTTGGTCATATACGTTGACAGTAATATGACGTTACCGTTATTTCCAGCAGGGCGTTCTGGCAATAATATGACTTCACTGTTTTAGTTCAAGGGCTGTTTGATCCTAAAAGTGGACAGTAATATGAATTTGCTGTTAGTTCCAGGGCTGTCTGATTCTGGCAGGTGTGCTTCACTTCCTTGTCGGCGCCACAAGTACGGTGGGATTCCTACTCCGATTCATCGGACCTGTCACTGTTGTGCCTACCTTGCTTATCACAGGGATTTTTACGGCGCGTTTAACAAGTAACCTTGCAAGGAGTCACTGGGGAATAGCTAGCATGTAAGTGTCAAATATTGATCAGAGTACTAAATAACCATATATACAAGAAATATTTTTAATGTGTACCTTAATCTCTGTTGACTTGGTATACGTGTTTTGGATATCTGCGTCATTTAAACCTACTGTTTCTAGCTTAAAACTGGCTTGATAGAGTTTGGTTTTAACTATTGATTCCTTTTCAAAAATATTAACACCATATTTTCACTTTATTCAAACAGAAACATATCTTAATTACAGAACAGAAAATAAAATGCTTTTTAGAACCCGATTTCACGGAGGACTGTCCATGTTTAAGTACTCTCTCTCTCTCTCTCTCTCTCTCTCTCTCTCTCTCTCTCTCTCTCGTTTTGAATAAGCAAATTCCTTTACAAATGTTATAGTGAGTTAGCAGGGCAAGGTATGGTATCATCTCATGTGAATTTGTTCTTCATGCAGCACCGCAATCACAGCTATCTTCATGTCATTGTGTATCGGTTACAAGAAAATGCCGTTTCCAGCCTGGTCCAAAGAAAATGGCCTACACATCTTCTGGTACCCGTTTCATCAGTTGTTCTCGGTAAATAAATTATATATAAAGTATTTTATACACCTACATGTATATTATATAAAGTATAATCATATAATCAACAAAAACATTAAATACGTACATGATACCGTTTAGCTGTCACGTCCCTAGTTATCAGTTTAATAACGTGACAATATTAAAAAATTCCAACACTAATCGTCGTCGACAAATCAGAAGCTGCTCATCCATCTGGGATACTTTGTATGATTTTCCTTCTACCTCCATGTATATCTTTGCTTTGTTAATAATCTTCCTTAGTTGTATCGATTTTGAGCTCGAATTACGATTTTGGTTATAACTCGGCATTAATAATATTATGCGAAGTAGTCTAGGAACGGCAGATCAAAGTGTTTCACGATTATACCGATGTTTTTATTGCAGGTCCTGATCGGTATGATGGTCGGTTGGTCAGTGTCGGCCGTGATGACGTACACAGGGGCACTAACAGACGACCCAAGTCAGTCCGAGTTTTTCGCCAGAACAGACGCCCGGGCTGAAATCGTTACCAACGCCTCCTGGTTTCGTGTGCCTTACCCAAGTGAGTGATTTGTATTGGATAAATCGTTGAGTATGCGAGTAAGTATCTTATATTAAATGCAACTTGGCGTCGATAATTTGCTGAACAGGTGTGACAGAAACACCAGACAAAGATAAAATGCAACAGCAGACACGTGATTCAATGAAAGCCTGGCTACCTGGAAAACATATTGATACATGTAACTAAACAGCATGCTTACAAGACCATAAGCATACCTAAGAAAAGAACACATGTGAAAGAAACAAACTAATGCCAAAATATGACGTTGATTTCGATCAAAGTAATATCATATTTGTACTTTATAAAGTGTTGTAGAAAGGTTTTGCAAGATAGTTTATTACATCAAATAGAATTTCCTTTATTAAAAGTAAAATTTTGTAATTGTTTAACAGAGAGGTTTCATTTATCATAATAGAATGTCAAAGGGTAATTTCTTCTTTTCAACCCATGTAAATGATCAAACAGGCTATGTTTAGTGTAAATTCAAATTTTTACTAACGATATGTCCATCTCCGATATAAATGACAACAATCAAAATAAAATTCTACAGCTATTAAACATATTAGTGATTAAAATACATTGACAAACAAGTGAGATTTAATCCACTAAACCTGAATATATATTTCTACCATGACAAAAAGAACTCAAACACCCTGATACTGGTATCTATATCCAAACGTTAAAGTAACTGTTACGAACTCTCTGTTACGAATAACCTTGTTGTGTGATGGAAAATAATAATAATATTAATGATATATGAAACCAAATTAAAAAAATGAAGATTTATTTTCAAAATTAAGTCAATATAATAGGTAGTCATACTATAAAAACCTATTTTGTCAGATTAATATTTAAACATGGTGACGTTCAATAAGATACATGTAGTTGACAGCATCAAGCAGTTGATAACTTGATATTTTCCCTTGTGATTTTTATTATAATGTTGAATACCACTAAATGCATACAAGCTTGTCTAGTGTCCACAGAAGAGGGGTGGCCCATGTGTGCATTAACAAAGACATTATAGTCAGTGTCGAATGTGTCCGATGTTAAAAAAGCTATACATAGCTTGAATATCCAAAGTGAATCAAAAACATATGCGTCTCTTTCCACATTGTTGAAATACTTTCAAAGATCATCGTGTAAATCTTCCGTTTGCTTGTATTATGACCAAGTATCATTGTTTTGATTTATAATTAGGTTTTGTTTTGCTATTTATTTTGCTCTGGTATTGTATATAATTAGGTTTTATTTTGCTATTTAGTTTGCTCTGGTATTGTATATAATTAGGTTTTGTTTTGCTATTTAGTTTGCTCTGGTATTGTATATAATTAAGAATTAAGGACTTCTATAGCTATAGCCTGAGGTTCAAACCATTTGATTATATAAAAGTTACACGGAAAGACACGGTTGTCGAATCGGAAAACTGAATAAGCCATGTTGTAACCCCCTGAATAAGCCATGTTGTAACCCCCTGCATCAAAGGATTTCAAAATTCATGTTGACTTAGCGGTGTTGTCTTTCGGTGTTTCATCTTTTTAATGTAATGTCGTGCTTTTGAGACAATAACAAACGAAATTCTATGAGACTGGGAAACGACCCAGTAAATCCAAACAACAAAATAAAGCATTCTGGTGTATGTCTACAAAATCGATTGTAAAAACTATAACGCATAAAATATAAGGTAGATAGGCTGAAACATCGGAAACATGCTGAAAATAACATTTACATCAAGGTACCATGTCAGAGATCTTGATCAACAAATCAGCCGTCACTAATCCCAAAGCAAAGGACATTCAAGACATTTACTAGGCAAACTCCAAAATGTTCAAGGGAGAGGAAAATTTGACAAGACGGCTGGATACGCATGAGTTTGTCGGTTTTCCATAGGGAGAAACAAAATTTCACACATTAATTATCAACGTTTTCAGAAAGTCAGTTTTGCATTACACGTTGCAAAACAATCTTTTTGCTTGTTGTAGATCAGTTTGGCCCGCCATCGTTTAACGTCGGAGTTTTCATCGCATTCCTCATCGGCACCATACTGTCTATTCTGGACTCAATAGGAGATTACTACGCATGCGCACGGATATGTAACGTGCCACCTCCTCCACGACACGGAGTGAACCGCGGTATTGCCGTGGAGGGCCTCTGTAGTACTCTAGCAGGGGTCATTGGATGTGGACACGCTACAAACACCTATGGCGAAAACATTGGGGCGATCGGCATTACAAAAGTATTTGTACCATAAATATTATCACCAAAACCGTAATCCAAACATGAGAGTGATAAAACTAAAGCAAAAATTTGAGAAACGGTATATTTATAAAAACAAATAAGAATAAAAATAAAATCAGGCCTTCCATTAGGGAAACAGGTTCGGCCTCCTCGACGACCATTGCCTTGAACATCGTATGTAATCTCACATAACCAAAGAGAGAATCGAGATATTCGCAAGGAAACAAAGCACATAATCAGCAGAATAAAAAGAAATTGACCTACATCATAGAAGTAAAGATAATGTTTCCAAGTGAGGTCATGATGGCTAGCATAAACATTGTCCATAGTGTTCATCAACCTGCATATACAACGTGCTGTAGGTTTGTCCGACAGTGATATCTTTATGACATTAATCTATTTAATCACGTCTTACTTGAAACTTGCCCTAGTGATACATAATTGCTCCTCGGAAAAGCGTATTTCGCTAAGTCAATTGGAAGAAATGAATAAAGAACAACATCCAAGCCGATTGATTTTTTATTAAAAATTTATTTGAAATAAAACGTAAAAATCTCGAGAGCTGGCCATGTATCAGTGTGTGTTACACAATTACATAAATGTGTAACTTTAAAATAATTGAGAAACTGAATGTTTTGGTTCGTATCATTCAGAGATGCAATGTTATTTTTCGTTACAACAGGTAGCCAGTAGGGACGTGTTCTTGTTGGTGTCGCTAATATATATCGTGTTCGGAATATTCGGGAAGGTCTCTGCAGTCTGCATCACAATCCCTTTACCCGTCCTAGGCGGCACTATGATCGTCATGTTTGGTCTCTACAATGGCGTCGTCCTGTCTAATCTGGCCGCCGTTTCACTGTCATCGACTCGTAACCTCGCTATCATCGGCATTGCCTTCCTAATTGGTATCATGCTTCCGAACTGGATCGAAAATAATCCGGATGACATCAACACAGGTAATGTACCCAGGTATCATCAAAACAGGTTAAATATCGAAGTATCAAAAACATAGGTAATGCTCACAGGGTTACCACAGGGTACTGGTTGTGCTGATCAGCTGTGATCACACCAGACACACCAAGTCAGAATACTTGTCGTGGTATTTCTGTCACATGTTTCTGTTTCTGTTGTTACAGGAAGCGCCTACTTCGACAACATAGCGAAGACGTTGCTTGGCAACCCAAGTCTATGTGGTGGTGTCGTGGCCTGTTTCCTGGACAATATAGTTCGCGGTATGTGTCACGAGAAATGTGTAAACCATTGGTTAATTCGAAATATTCGACAAAACATCTGATTGTACCTAATTAAACTTAAGAAAATATAAATGGTTCATATTGAGGTATATCGGGCAGTGTATAAAGCCCTATAGCACTTCTGGGGCTTTTCAGGTTTTTTCATACAAGTTGCAGTTTATTCCGGCAATATGTTTGTTTTTGTTTTTTTTACTTTTTAAGTATATGACATCGCAAATTGAAATCATCTCATCGTTTCCAAAAAATCTAGTGGAGAGTTTCGACTTTTTTTGTTCTCGATAATGTAAAACATCCAATACATATTCCCGTAATTGTATACTATCAGCGATTGCATACTTTTGCTAAATGGACGTTGAGGAGGGGAGGTTGTACGAGAGTAATTGCATGTGTAGCTGCCATTTTAATGAACAAAAACTAATATTGAAACACTGTTAATAAAATAAAACCAAACTCCACAAAGTAAAACCATAATTATGTGATACATAGTCTACATTAGTAGGAATTGCGGTAGCTTTTGTTGTTTTCAATTGTAATTCCTTATTTGAATAAAACATGATTAATCTACACAGTAGGTCTATCACATTTTTGTCCTGTGTTAGTTGGTGATATTAACTTTTATAAAATTTTCAAGAACAAACCCAAAGGTATAAATGAGGAATGAGAAGGAAAAATAAACGAAGACAATAAAAACGCTTGGGTATGATTGAAAACCTGTACTACCATTTATTGTGTTTTGCTGCAAAATAAACCCGCCTACATGTTTATTAGGTTGTTGTTCGGATTCCATGCCATTATTTATACTATTCTTTACTATTTTTTCATCGAAAGGTACGGATGATGAACGTGGGATATCTGCATGGCACAATCAGGATAAAGTTGACCTGAACCACGTGTACAGTGAGGGTATGGAAGTGTACACACCCCTACTGCCCGCCTCCTGGCGGTCGTGGAGGCTGATGAAATACATACCTATTTGTCCTTACCAACCACTAATAACACCAGACGCTTCTGATAAACTACTGTAAACAAACCAAAATAATAAGAGCGTAGCTCAGGAATGGTAACACATGCGTGCGTAAACAGAGTTGCTTCCCTTGCTACACTAAGCCCTTGATTTTTTTCGTCCGGAAGTACTACTCCAGTGGGAAAACCGGAAGTGTATACTTGAACCAAAGTAAAACAGCAGTTTCTGATACAAACATGTATATCTCAATAAAAAGAAATACTTTTCAAAGTTTGGCTTTGGATGTATCTAAAGCAAAACATATTTTTGAAATCTAGTGTATGTCATTTTTTCGTATTTTCGCAAGAACGTCAGACGAGTCTGGCTCTCTAATGCGGTTGCGAAATACTTTGAATGCGGCATAGCGCAGCAGAGAATCAGACTCAACAAACTGTGTCGTTGCTGGGTGATGTGGAGTAGCAGAACTGGCACGAACGAATCAACATATTCGTTTCTAACGTTTAATGTCTTTTGTTTTACATTGAAAGTGTATGTGTATTCAGTAAGAAATAATGATTTCCCATAAATGATAACATTATTTGTAAACGCCAGTCATTCGTCGCTCTTTTCTTATGGTGTTATATTCTTACATACATTAACATGTAACTACACCACCATCTTCACTAGCCAAGGGTTAGGATCCGGTCGTGCTACTCTGGTAGATTGTACCGGATCGTAACCCTTGGCTAGCGAAGATGCTACACCACAGGCATTTGTTTCTGTCACTAAAAATAGTCATGAGAAAAAAAGGCTTCAAGAACCCCCCCCCCCCCTGAGAATTTCCCTTAAAAAATCATGTATTTTCACAATTTTCCTCAATTACCCCCCACATGGTAACCCCCCCCCCCCCTGGAAATTTGGAAAAAAACCCAGATAGGTCTCTGGATCCGCCACTGAACTACACTGATTCCTATTAACTCGCAATGGTCTAAAACACACATTTGCTATGTTTACTGATGGGCCACAGAACACATAAGCATAAGCTTCCCATGTATAAGCTTGTGTGATGTGACCATATCAGAAAATATAATGTATGTGTTGTTTATTTCACACTGATAGAATCCAAAATAATGTTGTGTTTGCTTTTTAACATTACTTTACTGATATAATTGCATCATTGTTTTCCCAAGAGTTATGCACGTTAACTGAACATTAACTGAAGTATGAAACGAATCATCACTATCTTCATGCTATTATACAATTTTAAATTGGCGGTTTTATCAGCATATATTTACTACTTTGTGTGCATTTACGCCACAGACAAAATAGCACATTTAAATAACACATTTTGAGTTGTTCTTTCAGGTGAAATCATTAGATCTTGAAATATAGGAACAGTTTAGCAAATTCACTGGTTGAAAATAATAAATTTAAGTGTCCAAAATCCGCAGTTTTCCTCCTAAATATGGAGAGTTGGCAAATATGGAGTTAATGACTAATTCATTTGAATACCAAACTCTGTTCAAATCTGCTATTAGTTCTACATCTCAAATGGTTATTCTTCTCCTTCTTCTTCTTCTATGTCTTCTTCTTCTTCTTCCAGTTATCATATGCAGCATATTGTCAAGGATTCTTTCAATACCATGTTTGCTACCTCTTTTCATTCTACTTTTTGTACCATCACCTAAAGCCATTATCATTACCAGGCTGAAGTTGGTCATTATTAGGTAAAACTAGAAGCCGTTTAGAATCACCTTTCTGATTATATAATGAGCGCAAATTCATCATTGCAGCGAACATAAATAACATAATATAGGTCTACAATTAAATGGGAATGGTGAACTCAAAACTGTAAGAATATGGATTTTAAGACTGTGCCATGTATTCAACTTAAACAAATGTATTATGATAGTCAAGTAAAATCAATTGTGCTTTGGCAGGTTTTCTGTTACAGTAGTAAAAAATAAAACTACAAAAGTATTATGTCTAGCAGACATACTAGTGTTATCGAAAGTGTATTGCCATTCTCCTATATTACAATAATAAGATGTACATGATACAAAAAGGATTCACTATCATTTAAATTTAACCTATGTGATCGGGTAAAAAAAGATGAATTCCATTAGTACTAACTAGGGTAAAAAAAATCATTGGGATAATGCACAGGATCTTATTTTCTGAAAATGTCTAATTGAATTGCAATCTTATAATTATTCCAATCATGTTTGAATTGTTTCCTGCAGAAATTTGACAAATTATACCTTTATGCTCTTCATTCATAAAGAGAATATTATTTTAGCCACTTCCCCCCTTTTGGCCTTGCCTGCCTGTCTGCAGTCTTAATTTCTCAAACCATATGATTGCCATCTCAGTATATCCTGCTGGATATCCACAAATATTACTCAATTTTTTTTTATTTTTCAATATAAACTATAGTAAATTTCAATTCACACCCTCCCTAAAAGAGACCAGATGACCTAGAGTAAATGAAATTTACAACTTTGTTACAGCACCTGAAGAACTTTCCACCCAAAAAGTGCATTTGATCCCGATACATGTTTAATCTGAGGAAGAACATAAATTATGTGAATTGTTTCCAATTCCCCCTTTTGACCCTTGCCCCTGCAGCCCCGGGCAAGGCAGGATTCTACTTCTCAAACCATATGATTGCCATCTCAACATAATTGTTCGAACCATGATTTATATATCCTGCAGCTGAAAATTGACAAAATATACCCAATGTGTTATTTCTCTGTATAAACAATAGAAAACTTTACCCCCTCCAAAAGGGACAACAGATGAAAGTTACAATTTAGATAAAGCACCTCAGGATCTTTACATCCATCGGCATTATTGGAATCTAGTACATTTGAGGAAAGGATTTTAAAAAATATTGCCTAATTTGTTTAGGAGTTCAGGGGCCGGGTACGAAACCAAAATTTAAATGGTACCTTCTTCCACCAAGTATGATTTTTTTTTACCAACTAAAAGAAATTCATTCACTATTTCTTTTTAAAGTGAAAAATATTTAAAAACATTATGGATGATGCACAATGACACACAAAAAGTGATCCCATTAGGTCAATTGAGCCTTTGGCTCGGGTAAGTTAAACACAATATTGAAGATCATTTGTTGGGTACATATCGAAATCTTAAATCTTGAAACGTTTTTTGAGTTTTTGTATAAGATTTTACAATATATACAAATATACAAAGATTTTACAATTGATATTTAAATGTGATGTTTTGAACACAAACCTAAATATGCTCCCCCCCCCCCATCTCAAAATAAAAGAAAGAATTTTAAATAAATATTTTTTACAACCAATATAAAGATTTGCAATTTTCAGAAAAAAAACATTCATGGATTTTCTAAACTTTCTCAATTGCAGGCATCATCTTTATTCCTGTGATATTTGTCAAAGGAGGAAAGAGGCGTTTCTTTTTCCAAGCAGGGGTTTATATTTGGTCACTTAAGTCCATGGGAAAAAAGTAAATACAAATTTTAAGATCGATCCGTCTGAACATCATATTTCATACCATCAGAATTAATTTCTGAAGACATTTATTTTCCTCCATTTCATATGTTTAATTTCTCATCAAAAAGTTGAACCAATTTTTTCTTTAGCTTCCCCTAGCCAGCAATTTCTAGCTGTAGGCCTGAGGGTATTGCCCAAACACCAAATATTTCAATACCCTAAACAATAGGGGATTTGTCCCTATATTGTCAATGATCATGATCATCTGGTCTTTGTTTTACTTGACCCTAACTGGTTATCTATAGCTTTGCACTACCTGTATTGAAGTTCTATGAGAAGGGAGTAGGGCTATACTTTTTGTTGGAATGACGTAAAGTAGCTATGGGTTGATAGCTGTAGGTTAGGTCTGTTTTCATTTTTACCTGTACTTTCACTTAAGATTTCAAGTGTATACTATTGTTAAGAGTAATTATTTTAATCATAATATATAATGTTGTTTTTTCAGTATTATAGAATTTGCTAAAGATAATGACAATTGGTTTGTTCTCATTAACAATACAGTGTAGAGAATATATACAAATGGGTGACAAAAATACATGTTTTGTGAATTAATTATCTTATTAATATCGTTAAGAAATTAAGCCTGCATGATATCAATTTATCTTATGTTACATAATTGAATAATGTATGAAATTGTATGTGCTAGGTCTTCCACAATAATATCTGGACATATGTTTTCCATTAAGAATACCGTATAGTCGTTTACCTTTTGCTAGTAATTGAGGTGCAAAGTACAGCATGATATTATCAATGATATCATTTGGAATGAGTAAGGGTCTGATTCAGTATAATGATATCAATCAAAATATAAAATGTATGGAAATGATCACTGTATTGATTGTTTTGATCGTGGAATGTGGAATGAAATTTGAAATATATGGTTGTTGCCGAAAGCTGTGATTTTAAATTACTATTCTATAAAATAAGGAAATATAACAGGAACATGCTTATTTTAATTTGAGTGTAGTTGCATGAATAAGTTATTTTTTTTATACAGTACTCATTTACTATATTTTAGGTAATGTTATCTAATAATTTAATCTTGCTGGGAACAAGCATTTTAAAACCGGAGTGTACTCTCCGTGTCGCGGTTTAATTAGAGTACACTCCGTTTTTTGTTTTATATCTCTATAACATAAAAACATATATTCAATTTAATCCTTAAATATTTTAGACATGTACCTTAGAATATATATATATATATAAAAAAAACCACATACACAATGAAACAGACCTCTTGGCCTCTCCCAACAAAATTTAGCATCACCTCATACTTTAATCTAGAGCACATCAAGTATGTACTTGCAGCTCCGATTCAATTGATGCATTTATACGGTCAATCAAACGTCAACAATGTGTCTTGAATAAGTTCAGTTTTCATTCGACGAAAGTAAATATAAAAAACCCATTTTTTATTAAAGTCGTTCTGGGCTGTATCGCCTGTATGGCATTTGTTGATGTGTATATGCATGCCTTTCAAAAAATAATTAAAAAAGGGCTTATAGAGTGTTTAGGCCAACTTCTATGAGCGATAAATTGTGGCTAAATTCAGTTTTAGATTTTAGTTTGGATTTTTTTATTTTTTTTTAGTTTGGGCGTGCAACACCCTTAATAAGATCCTGAATCCGTCCTCGTGCGCATGACTGACCAGAAGAGATTTATAATCCATTTGGTTATAGCTTCTGTCTCAAGGTCGGCTAGTGCAAATTTAAATCCCGGGAGTCTGACCCTGTTGCATTTAGTCCATTCCTGTTGAAAACTGATCGGTCATTGTTATTCAGAAGCAATAATTGAAATACTTTATAATGTTTGTACGTAGGTGTTTGAAATTCTGACTGTAAATCGAGATAAAAATCATATAAAAAAATAAGGGTATTACTATAAAAAATAGTATAAAAAAGATAGTAAAACCCTTATTTTTTTATGATTTTTATCTCAATTTACAGTCAGAATTTCAAACACCTATGGTTTGTACCACATGCAGAAACCAAATAAAAATCCTAGTGTGGGAGTATTATTCAATTATTAAGGGTTTTAATTACTCCGTCAACATTTATTCAAGTTATCGTGTTTACAAGGTCCAATAATAATATTATTACAAAGGGCAATAACTCTGAAAGTTACAATCAAATAATTCCCAGTTTCGAACTCATCCGAGATCTTATTTATATAAGGCTACATACAGAGTTTCATAAAACTTGGTTGATATTTACTCAAGTTATCGTGAACACAAGGTCAAATACAAAATAGTGTAATAATATTATTACAAAGGGCAATAACTCTGTAAGTTACTGCCGAATAATTCTCATTTTCCAACTCATCCGAGATCTTAATGATATAAGGCCGCATACAAAGTTTCATCAAACTTTATTGATAATTACATAAGTTGTCATGTTCACAAGGTCCAATAATAATATTATTACAAAGGGCAATAACTCTGAAAGTTACTGTCGAATAATTCCCATTTTCGAACTCGTCCGGGATCTTATTGATATATGGCTGCCTACAAAGTTTTTTTTTTATCAAACTCGGTTAACATTTACTCAAGTTCTCGTGTTCACAAGGTCCAATAATAAAATTATAACAAAGGGCAATAACTCTGTTTTCATAATGGTCATACGGTATCATATATTAGCTCTCTGTGTCAAGTACAGGCCAGGTAAAACTCCGGTCACTCATCAAATTGTTATTTACCTGTTCTGTTACCGAGGCGCCAAACCCATTCTTGACAGTCTAACGGTCAATGTATACTGTATTACACGCATTGTAAACTTGTACATACTCTTAATTATAGCAGAAACGTATATATCTCTGATTATAGTGATGATAAATTACAGTGATATATACAGTGTACATTATTGCATACGAACATTCCGGTTTTTTTTTTCATTCCGTAATATTGATCAACAAATTGTACCATATCGCACAGATGTGCGGAGTGAAGCGCACAACGGGGCGAACGATTGTTAAATCGCACAGTTGTGCGCACCATGTGTGGACGATGTGCTGACGGTGTGTGAATGATGTATGCACGGTATTTTTGGTGCGTTGTGCGTTCCCACAACTGTACCGTGCCAACAAGGAATAATACAAAAGATAGACACGCGGTTAAAACAGATCTTCCACCTGTGCTTAAAGATCATATACTATGCACAGTTCAGTCCCTATTTATTCAGAAAGTACAGCTATGTCTGAATCACCAGCAGTGCCAACATTGGCAAACCCGTCCTTTGCAGAAACTGTTGATGGACGCAAGTTTAACACAGAAGACTTCTCTGGAAGATTATCTTCTCCTCAGCAATAGATTTAATGTTCACCGTTGTTCGGGGTCCTTCTGTCTGAAACCAACAGGTAAGTCCCAAATCAAAGCCTGTCGTATGGAGTTTCCAAAGCTCATTCGAATGAACCCTTTCTTATTGCACGACAAAAATAAGTTACTGAGACTAGAGTTGACGAGGGACCATCCAGTCATTGTACAAAACTCCAGGTTTCACACTCAAGGGTGGAGAGCAAATGGTGATGTATCTCTTATTCTCTCAAAGAGTAGCCCAGATAATCCGTCTGTAAATGAAATCATAGCAACAGAAAAATATATAACTGGCTATGCATGCAAGGGCAATCAGCCAACAGGCGCTATCGCCGATCTCTTCAATAATATGGTGAACTGTGCCGATGAAACCACAGCCAAATCACTTTGCATGAAGCTTTTATTAGAGGCTGTCAAATGAGACGTTTCAGCTATCGAAGTCTCGTATGAATTATCTGGTCTTCCTTTGTACCGAAGTACATGTAGCAACACTTTTCAGTCTTAAAGTCTCTCTGGTGCCCGTATATTTCAGCCTGACGGTTTGACACTGACAAAAAACCCTCCTTTGGACAGGTACCTCTCTAGAGACAAAATCGATCGATCTTCTCTCTACAGTTACATTTGCAAACAAGAGTACCGCGGGGCGGAACAAAATACGCCCGTCGAATACCATATAATGTTATATCCTTTCTTACATTGAAATAGGATCTGCATCATTCTAAGACTGGTTAGCTGATATGCTATAAAAAATGTAGGAGAAAATCTTCGGACAAAAAATCAAATACTGAAATGAACAAAAGGCAATAAATTTTGCAAAATTCTTTAAAGGGAAACACAACTTTATATCATGATTATAATGTATACCAATTTCAAAGAGATCCGTTGAAAAATGCAGGAGGAGATCTCTGAACAAAATTTTGAATCATAATTCTTTTAAGGGAGACACAACTTCATATCATGATTATAATGTATACCAAGTTTCAAATAGATCGATCGAAAGATGTAGGAGGAGATTGCCGGACAAACAAAAGTTTACGACGGACGGACGGACAACGCCATACCATAATACTACCTTCAAATTTGACGGTCGTATAAAAAGGCAAGATTCTTGTCATTTCTGGTAGTTGTCATCAAGCGTCTTGGCCGTTAGAAAAGGATTTCTGCCGAACAGCACTCCTTCTTCATTTCCCAAATTGGAGAAATTTATCTGACATAAAAGATACTGAGACGTCATGGACAGAAGCTTTCGATCAGTTCCTTCAGTCAGACGTGTGTCCATCTTTTGTCAAAGCAGACGTCGAGAGGGCAAAACAGCATTAAACAGAAATGACGAACATGAAGAAGACAATAATTAAGAGAACGAGGACATAGATCAATAGTGGATGGAACTTATCCGTCCAAAACCTGACTTTGATGTTGACTGGTGAGTTTCTTTATGATGATGGTGGGCCAGATCATGAATGGAATGAGCGCTCGTGTGATTATCCAGCCGACTTGGGAAAAGATTGACTAGAAAATGCCTACAACAACTGCGATAAAGCCGCCGACATCTTAGATATTCCAGATGTTGATCTAACCAGGATGAACCGAGACGAGTTGTAAGCATTAAACATTGTGATGCAGACGCTTGACCAACATGTCAACAAAAAGGACAATTCAGCTCATTGAGAATGAAACAGCTGGTTCAGGAAAATCTTTTCTTATCAAATGCATGGTAAAGGCAGTTAGAAGCTTGTACCAAACAAACAAGTCTGTTCAGGTGGTTTGTCCAACTGGTAAAAGCGCAAACCTGATATCTGAGGTAACCCTCCATAGCTTCCTCAAACTGCCAACTATGGAAATAAGCAAAGAATGAAGCAACCCGAAGGTGCAAGAGGAGAAACCCCTCAGAGCAATTGTAACGGGGTTCAGGTTCTGTTGGTAGATGAGAGATATCTGATAGGGGCAACCACCCTTGCAGTGTCTTGCTCTCTTTGAATTCAAGACAACGAATTTGTTTGGGTTTGTGGTCACTTTTTATTTCACGGAGAATAAACAGTTCGCCATGATGTACAGAAACTGCTTTCTTTCTACATTTTATGTTGCAATAACGTTTATCCCCGAACATAATAAAAACAAAAACAAACATTTTATAATGCCAAGCAAATACTTTTACAGGGGCAAATGGAAGTACCGCACGAATCAACTCTGCAAAAGGTTGTTGAAGCTGTTATTTCCGGGGCCCTGTCTATTCGGAGAACAGCGGCTTCGTAGGGGTACCTAAATCGTCCATAGGGGACTTGGTTACCAAGAAGTACAAAGAGCCTGGGAAACCGGGAAGGAGACCAGCTTTGCCATCCGACATTGAGGACGTGTTCCAGGCTGTAAAGGATGCGTCAAAACAGGGGATAGGGATATCATGTGCGCAACTCCTTGCCCGTACAGGGTTATTGTGTAGAAGATTGAACATTTCTCCCGTCAAGCAAATATCTCCAGGGAAAGATTGGTGGGAAGGCGTGAAAAAAACCCACCCGGATTTAAGTATACGAAAGCCCGAGAAGTTGGCCACATCGAGGGCGTGGATGTTAAATCCGGTGGTGGTTGCCAAATATATGGATGACCTTGGCAACTTTCTTGACAATCTTCAGCTAAAGGACAAGCCCCATCGCATCTGGAAATGCGATGAAACAGGGAAGCAGTTTGAGCACCAGCCAGTCAGGGTCATAGCCGAGAAGGGTGCAAAAAACGTCGTAGGGAGAACTACATCAAATCGCACAAACATCACGATCATGGCTTGCGTTAATGCAGCGGGTTAAAAAATATCCCCTATGCTGATAGTCAGGGGTAAGACTTCAAAATCCTTACATGGTTTTAACACGGAAATAGCTCCATCTGGAACAAAATGGGACTACCAAGAAAGGGGATGGATGACGGATGTCATTGGCGAGAGATGGTTCCGCGACATTTTCTTGTCAGAATGTGGCTCGGAAAGACCCCAGTTGCTAATATTGGACAGCCATTCCTCACACGAGACGCTAGCCATCCTTGAGATGGCTCCCAAAGAAAACATACATGTCCTTAGCGTCCCACCTCATACCACACATCTGCTACAACCCCTTGACAGAGCTGTATTCGGACCAATGAATGCTGCATACAATAGGATCTGTTCCGAATAACTAAATGAAAACCCGCTAAATTTGGTGACGAAGTGGAGCTTCCCTGGACTATTGGCACAGGCATGGGAATGTGGTTTGTCAGCAGGCAATATCAAGAGTGGCTTCCGGGCTTGTGGAATATTCCCCTTCAGTCGGACAGCAGTACATCAACTCATTTGCACCATCAATTCCTACCGATGCACCATGACCATCAGCTGACGCACCTGCCAGTGCTAAAGGTCCGTTCCCTGCTATCGAAATGTATGTATTTCCTGTCGACAATGCAACAATGCCGGAAATATCACAAAATCAAAAGTCGTTGCGAAAGGTCCTTGACAGGGGCGGTAAGTTATAATTACAAACTAGCCGGTTTGTTGTATGCCGAAAGGATGTAGCAACCCCTGGCGAAACATTGTGATCAGCGTGTGCATGATTAGAGTAGCGTGTCCGTAGTTATCAGAGACGTGTCCGTAATTACCCTTCACAACTGATTCCTCTATATTCCGTGTTTTGGTTTATATTTTAGTGTTCATTTTACCGACCAAACAAAAGCATCACAAAAAATAGCAACAAAAAGGGACCTTCATTTTAACTAAACATGTTCTGTTAGTTCATGATATCTTTGAAAGAGTGTTTATTGGTAGTCATCATTTGAAAAGTGTCCGTATTTACCCGGATGTCCCCTACTACTAGTCTTCTGCAGAGGGTCCAGAACACTGCAGCAAGGCTGGTATGTCTCGGCCAGGGGACAGAACCCAACGCTTTCCTCACAGGGGCGAACGCTCAACAAATGGCCAAAAGTGAGGCATTGTCAAGGGAGACATTAGGAAAAATAAAGTTATTTAGAAAGGAGAGAAAAGATAAGATCTCAAATTTAGTCGCCTCTTTCGATCATGCAATGGGGGCAGCAGGTACAATTCTTACGCCCTCACTGCTCCGAACAACACGTATCATAAGAAGCTTTTAACTGTTGCGATGTTTTAGTTCAGTATTTACGTCTCTTTGTATGTCTTTCTGTTTATCTTTCCTGAACTATAACATTGTTTTTTTGGGAATCACGAACACGGTACCCCAACAAAAAAGATAGTTTTACAATACCAGGTAATGATAATCTGTTATCTGACCTGGACTCTGTGTATATGAAATATATATTGAACAGCATCTAATACATGTTATTTTGATGCACAGCAAATATGCAACAATAGTGTCTATTTTTAATGAACATTTTGATTTGTAAATGAATGTGAACATCATATACCTTTTCATGGATTTTGTGTATCACACAATGGGAAAGTCGAGACACAAGCTAGCCTAAAGTGTTTGCAACTCCTTACTGTATTATGTTTTATTTAGGTTTCATTGTGGGACAAAGTCTTTGAAATCAAGAGAATCATCTGCTGTGATGCAAAATGATAAGCTTTGGTTGGCTGAGCAAGGCAATTGTTGGCTTCATCTTAAATTTGTTGTAGGCTTTGTACATAATTTGTAAGCTCACCTGACTGTCCTAAGCCAAAATGTCAAGTGCACTTTTCTGATAAAATAGTTATACAAGATAAAGTTACATATTTTGTCAAGAGAAAGGTCAAGGTCAATGATAGGACTTTAAAAAACTGTTCTTGTTTCAATATGCAATTGCTAAGTAAATGGGATTACAGTCATAGCTGACTCTCAATTTGGTAAAAATTTAAAAGTGGTATGTTGACGCCTATTTATTTATTTCCATGTACATGAAAATGTTTTGCTTTATCTTGAAAATGTAACTAAATAACATGGAATATGGAGAAATATAATAAGAAAAATGACCAGTACTGTGAAGTCTAGTTTCTTTTAAAAGAAAACGTTACTCAATAAAGGTATACAATATGCAATTATGATAAACTTGTTAAAATAGTCAGTCTGACATGTCAGATAAAATTTCTTTAAACAGACAAATTAGTAAAATACAAATGTATAGTTTTGAGTGAATTGTACGAACACTGAAAACACCATTTTCCTGCATATTATATTGACAAATGTTTGAACAAATTTTCATTTTTCTGATTTTTTCAAAGACTCTGAAGGTTTGCCATGACCAGAGAGAATGTGTGAAGGAGGGTGATAATTATGGACAGGAAGTAGAAGTCCAAGGAGAAATAGATACAGAGACTAATCCGTCAAAGATAAAACCTTTTGATGAAGAATCTACAGTAGTGTATTATTTAGAAACAACATGTATTAGTTAAGACAAAACAATGTGCTTTAACATACTTGTATAAATAATTGGACCATGTGAGTTTTATTACAATCAATTCATTATTTGTGTCTGTCTGTTGTATTTAAAAAAAAGAGACTTCTATGTCTTTAAGTTTTGTCCAATGGTACCATGTGCAACTGACTTGTGAAATAAAACCTACCCTGTATGTTATTGTAGTAAAACTAATTTATGTTCCATTGTTAATGTTACAGGTTAATCAAGGACTTCTGACATCGCTTAGCTGGCAGCATATGACGGCAGCGACATTTTAACCAGTATATAATGCCATGCATCAGTAAAGATGTTCGTGTTGTTTTGTTGGACTTCATTGACTACCTTAGTAAAAAGAATAATCCAATCCTTTTTTGTCATAACATTACAGCTTATAGTATACCAGTTTTACTAAAAAAAGTCAGTTGCTGTCAGAATTTCTTCGACATATAACAGGCTGCATAAACACATTGAAGTTAGCGAGAAGAAAGTTTAGCAACAGAATCTTGTCTCAAAATTACTTGGCAAAGAATATGATGCACGTGATGCATGTGCTGATGTTACAAGTCTTCATGAACTTCTTGGACAGCTGAATTTTTCTAAAAAGGATATTTTTGCTTTTAATGTGACAGCGTTAATGAGATCATCTCATATCACCAAACCAACAGCTAGGCAATTAGCACAATGTGGACTTTGCCTAAGACACTTTCAGCTAGCCTTCAAGAGAGGTGCTTTAAAATGGACCTAAATATGTGTTGTCAAAGCATTGATTTAATGCAAAATATATTAAGGCTGTCACAAGTGTCTTTGCAAACAAAGAATAATAATAACCTGATAGCTGTATTGGTGCCTAGCCCAAATAATTCAAGGGTGTCTACACCCCCTGCTTCAAAGCTATTATATATGATGTGAAGACCACATGATGTTAAATAATGTATTGTTAAATCAGTTTTTAACTTAACAGAATGACTTCATGGGACTTACAATTTACGTTTGGTCCATCAATTCTAATCTACACTAGCTTTTTGCAGTTCACTATGCCCAATTTCTTCCTGAGTTAACATGTTATTGGCGTGACCCAGAAATTGAGAATCAAAATATCTTGTTTTACGACATGGTTCTCTTCATCCGAAAATCGAACATGACATGAACATCCATGTGTTTATTCTGTGACTTTTTGTTTAGCGATTCATTGAAAAGAACTGAGTAATGACCTCTGATCATTTTCAATAGTATTTTTTAAATGCCCTGCTATGCCGAAGAAAGCTATAATATAAGATTTTCTTTATCCACACGTGAATTTGTTCGCAGAAATAGTTTCGAAACGTCATCGTTTTATTTTTTTATTTAAAAGAACAGTGTTAATTAATAGTTTGCAAAGTTCAAAGTGTTTCAGCACGTAGAGTATTATTGCGAACGACAAAATTAATTACGGCAACAGCAATAGCACGGGCACATTTGCAAAACAATTGTACTTGAAGAATCCACTTTCATGCTGAGTACTTTACTAGCGGGTTACTTTTTAAGATAAATCAGTCAATCTCGGGCCAGAACCGGGAATTGCTCGCCCACGGAGCCTTGTTTCTTACTGCTCGTATGCGAAAGTAATGCATGCCTCCCAATCTTACGTGTCAAACGATACAGTTTGCCATATGCTTGCCTCCTTTGAATTCTCTGACCCATCTTGCGAACCCACTTGCAAAGTCACTTCCGATTAAAGCCACTTTCTCCACTAGGCCTACTACTGACGGTACTGTTCGTTCAAAAATGGCGGCATGTTTTTTTCTATTCTTTATCGCGAAAATGCGTTACTTTATATACAACCACAGTATCGAATGTCTGAAGACCCATAATGGTATGAGTAGAATCGAAAACGGAAACCGGTAGATAAGTTCCGGAATATTACCCCCTCAAGTTGTTCTTTGTTTGGGGTTATCCCCCGCATTCACCGAGACGGGGGATATTCATTTGAGTTTGTCCGGTTGTCTGTCTGTCGCGCTTTGTTTTCGTTTTCGTTAACTGCAACAAATTATAACCGATTTTCTTCAAACTTGGTAACAGGGTTAAATGCCGTAAGGGCTCGGCCAAGTTCGATGACCACTTTAAGCGGACTTTATTTGGCGGAGCTAAGACCCCTTGAATAACGAAAGACGTCATTATCTGCCGTTTCTGTTCATTAACTCTAGCAAATATTATCAGATCGTATTCAAACATAGTAACAGGGTGCAACGCATTAAGGACTTAGCCAAGTTTGACAACCACTTTAATCGGACTCCATTTGGCGGAGTTATAGCCCCTTGCTTAACGAAAAACGTCATTATCTTCAGTTTCTGCTTAATAAGTCTAGCAAATATTAGATAAGGCTTTTCTTTTCTTCGAGTTTCAAGTTAAACATATCTCAAGAGCACGATACTCACATGTTTATACCTCACATCAATAATGTTTCTACAATATGTTCTGCAAGCGGGGGATATAAATTCCACGAATTTAGTCTAGTAGGAAGGTAGGGTACCCATGCACCCCAAGGATATAATTTTTTAACCTACATTTTTGTAATCCTCAGGGTATCTAGTAAATGAAATTTTATGTTCCCAATGCGAAATATTGTCCCATGGGGTGCATTGACGCCCATTTTGACGGCCATCTTGGATTTCTTAGAAAATCAATAATTGGCATAACTTTTGAACCAGACATGACACAGAGACAACTGAGACTACTTTTTATGTAAGTTGGCCATTGGGAGGCGATTAAAATGGTTCTTGTTATGGTCAGACTGTTATTTAAACAAAATGTGTTCATAAATAAGGGGAAAAAAGAAAAATGTGTAGCTTATATTCAGTACACTAACATTTTTGTCGTTTTATGTATATTAAGAGGGATTACGGAATTATGCTTCCTCACAAAATATCTAGAACAAATAGTAATCAACAGGTTTATACAATTAACATGTTTGTCTGCTTCATATTTCACAGGAAATCATTTCACCGCTTAAAAACTAATGCAAATATCCATTTACTTTTTTAGGTTGTTTCTTCTAACTGCATAATGAAATTGGTGGTGGTGTATGTAGATGGTATGATGCATCTTTGGGCCAAGTGATCTGGTGTTGGGATGATGATCAGTTATAATCGAAACTTATTTATGCATGTATTTATTGTTGTGGTAGCTAAGCATGCCGAAGTCAAACACCCGCAAAACTGATAATGGTGGTGGGTCACACGAATTGCTAAAGTGTCCATCTGTAACATGTATATTACACGCGAGTGGTATCCAGCATCTAGAATTTATATCATTCAGTGCTATCAAGGGATCTGCCATTGAAAAGCTAGCTCAGCTCTATGGCATTCGTAACCGGCGTCTCTTGATGCCATATGATTCACACTACCGCATGGAGGATGTCTGTATTTGCATTCCGGAAAGCTGATGCAGATTTAGACACTATCGGCTAGCATCGCGGCTGCTATCAACACTTTACTAAACACCTGGATCGTTTAAAGTGTAGTGTACCACCGAACACATCTGAAGCCTCTACGTCACACGCCTCGGAAGTAGCATTAACATCACGCTCCCCTCGCAAACGATCATTAGCCTACTGTTCCCTTCAGAATGTATATTTTGTGAAAAACTTGAAAAAAACCTTCTGGAAAGACTGAACGATGCATTAAGTTCCCAGTATTCAAGGAGAAAGACAGAATTCTGAAGGAACCTACATGGAAACAGATTGCACCTCGAGCTTTAGAACTAAATCTGCATCATCTACATCGCATGGTTCAAAGAGAAGACCTGTTTACAAGTGAATCAAACTTCCACCCATCATGTCGCAAGTCATTCAATTTAAAGTACATCAATCATATTCGTGATGCGCCAGAAATATGAACCGTGCTATTTATACAGATCAGGATCGTACAGTCACTGCACATCTGAAGACATTTGATGCTGTGCTTGATACGATTGGAGACCAAGCGATAAGGCAGAACGAAGTCTTACAGCTTGCATCTCTACGCCTTCTCTACATTGAAAAGTTGGAGAGAAATGGCTTCCCCAATCCGGAGTACAGAAGTGAGAAGCTAAAGGCCCGACTTGAAAGGCATGCGATTCATGAGTTGATTACATTTGCTAAATCCTTCCAGGAGACAAAGGTTGTATCACATATACATTGGTTTACAGTGCCAGCATCTCGGTACCAGATGCGGTAGCCTACGCTTATAAGTTGGGATCCAATGACTAGTACGAGCACGTGGCCAAGCTCCTCCGTAGTATTATCCAGCGGGCGTTCACAGAGTCAAAGTCACTTCCGTGGACTCCGACAGCTGATGATCTAGATGTAAAGTCATCAGATGAACTCCTCCAACGTGACCTCTTGAAATTCCCGAGTATAGTCATATCTGGGGATACAGACACAGAGAAGAGTGAGAAGATAAGACGTATTGTGCTCTCTATTGGCCAGGTATGATATATACCCATCTTGGTGTGTGTGTTGTTTTTTGTTTTGTCAACCCTTAAGTACCGGTAAGCATGGTTATAGTTAGTTTTTGTTATATATAGTTATCTGTACTATTACAGGGCATCTGCCGAGCTGTGACGAAGGGCGAATGGAAGTTACCGAAACCCATCCCCCTCTGTACTACCATACGGCATCTCTACCGTAATAAACAGCTCACCACTATTCTCAGTAGGCTGGGTCACTGCGAGACCTATGATTTCGGTTTGGAACTTGAGACAGCATTGGCTAAGGCCCTCGATGAGGTTTCCACCAATCTCACCCCTCAGATTATAACTGGTGAAGGCAACGACGTAATCCATCTGGAGTGGGACAATATGAACAAAATAACTAAGAACATACATGGTTCAAACGTGGTAAATAGCACCGGGGGATTATGATACAGGAGGTGAAATCTAACTTTGATGCCATTAACCAAGATCGAGTACTTCCCCTCTACGAGAGAAACAAGACACGCTCTCTGAAGGTGGATACACCTGAGACTCCAGCTCCTGTTCATATATATAGTCGGGTTGGTCCTAAATTTCCTGAAGGATATGTATTCACTCCGCCCCCTGTAAACAATGGAGTGTACTTGAATTGCATCAAGGAGTATCGAGTCTGGATACTTGCTCGGGTAGTGGGAAGCAGCGGCGAGAAGCAACTTGTGCCAGGGTTTGGTGGCTTCATCTCAGCCACTGGCACCAAACCAAGAAATCAACCATGAACTGTTTTACCCCTATAAACCACCCCTTCACTGAATACTCAGACATCAAGGAGCTTCTGAAGCGGTCAGAGGATGCTACAGAGGTTGGTCAGGAGTATGTCCTCAACACCTTTGATCTTGGTGGCTGCATGAAAGCTCTCCCTCTCATTTGGAAATACCCAGAGCAGTACACGATGCATGTGGTCACACCAGGCGCGTTCCATACTGGGGTGAACTACATGGGCATGGTGACAAATCACAAATGCAGCGGATCAGGCTACTCGGAAATCCTTATTGAGTCTGGTCTCGTTACAAGTGGTTGCTTGGGTAGTGTTCTGAAAGGAAAAGCATATTCCGAAGCCCTGATCTGAAGAAGATGGTGGAGGAAGATGATCAGATTACAACCTACTCTAAGGTAGACCTCTCCCGGCTCCCACCGTGCACGGACAACCTACTCCCACACATCCAGCTTGTGAATCACTGACTTGCTACTTTTGGCACCCAAAGCCTTATGATATTGGACAAGGCTGGGAGAAGACGGAGGAGGGTATCTTAGAGCCAGTGTGGTCGTGTGGCCCCATTCTACCACCTTCTCTGATTGACCTGCTGGAGGAAACTGTTCATGAGGTTAAGGACGACAACGTAGATGAGGATGAACAAGAGCTTGATTACGATATGCTCTTTAGTGATGATTAATAGATCATGTAGTTGTGACTGCAAACAAAACATAACCGCTTCTGTATAGCACATCCTGTTTCACAATTTTATACCAAATAACATATTTAATAGCAATTATAATTTCTTACAGAATCAATAGACGCATGCCTCATTGATGATATAAACTGCTATGGTCCGTTGTAACACATATGTATAATTGGAAGAATTTGAATAAAAAAATTAGATGATTTTATTTTTTTTATTTTTTTCATATCTTTATGGTTTAAATATTCGTTAAATCTTAAAAATAATGATCTCATTCGTTTTGTTATGCTCAAATTAAACAAAAATAAGTGGTAAATTGTCTCTGTATCATGTCTGGTATAAAGGTTATGCCAATTATTAATTTTCGAAAGAAATCCAAGATGGCCGCCAATGGACCCCATGGGACAATATTTCGCATTGGGAACATAAAATTGAGGATTACAAAAATGTAGGTTAAAAAAATATATCCTTGGAGTGCATGGGTACCCCACCTTCTTACTCGACTAATTTTCTTGTTTTGTGTATTTTACCATTTGTTTTTAAACTTTCAAAAATGAATTGCACACAGTGAAAATATCACATAGATTAAACAATGATTTCATAAGTTTTGAGGGCATGTCTAGACAGTAACTAATAAAGTATTTACATGGTTTTCAAGGGTTTTTCAAATTTTGGCATCTTTTTGAAGGGGTTTAAAAATCAGTGCGAACCATATTTCAGATATATACAGGTAAGGGTCATATTTCAAGGTTAATGTTAAATTTCAATAAATGAGATAGAGACTTCATATTTGGTCAAGTGAAAGTCAAGGTCAAATATCAGGCCAAGGTCATAATTTAAAATTGAAAGTCGTTTATACTACAGTACAAAGATACTTGTCTTCCTTCAAAGGCACTGTGTTTGTCATACACATCTTGTGAAATGTTACACATTCATATACAATCTGTTCTGAAAATAGAACCATTCCAGCAGCACAACTTTCTATTTCCACTTTTGTAGACTAAAAAGGAAAAATGAAACATTTTCTCATATTCCTCTCAAATATTGAAAATACAATATAATTTTTGAGTTCCAAACAATATTTAATGACAGATGTTCAACATGTATACAAAGGAATAGCCAGTTTACAGTTAGAAAATGCAAAATTTGCCCATTTATTGTCAGTTTTTCCATGTGTTGATGACCTTACCAAAATCAAAACTTAATCATCATTTTTTTGGTTAAATATGTCTTCTGTCTATTACTTGCGAAATATTTACTGAAAAATGTATTAAAATAAAAAATTAAGTTACCTCCCTTTTATATCAATAAAGTAAATTTACTGGAAAAAATAAATAAAAAAACTTAAGCTACCTCCCTTTTATGTCAAGGAAGTGACCATACTATTATGTTAGAGAGGACACCTAAATGCAGCTATATGGAAAAAATGGAAAAGTTTCAAGACTAGATTTTGTTGCCAGTAACCACTCCTTAGGTCGAATATCACAGAAGTCTTTCTGTTAATAAAATGGTAAATTGCATATTTGCAAACAAGTACTCAGGATCTGATGTTCGGAACTTTGTTGCTCTAATCATAACATGTCAATTGAAAGTCAATTTCCGTTATGGATAAAGATGAATGTCATTATAGTACAACAAGACGCAATGTTCTTGTTTTCCTATTTCTTGTTATTAGTCACCCGGGAGGTACTTACAACCAACAAACCCTTATCTCCAGCACACATATAAGCAAGCATGCAGAACAAACACGGAGGCAAAAAGGCGTCTGGATTTCAAAAAAAACCCCAACAAATTACATTATAAATATTAGTGTAATCACTAGTATGAATCACTGATCAGGACATCAACTTACCTATTATAGTCAAACGTTACTCAATCATGAAGGTTAACTTTTCGTTTTTGATAGGAACATACTCCGTGTTTATATATCGCAGTTGGGTATTCGATGAACACTTTTGACACGTTGCATGATCTCATAGTGGCAGATGTTATTTTTTTTTGTGTGAAATGAAAACTGATGTTTTGATTTTGCTCAATAGCTAGCATTGATGTTGTCATCGATGAAGAAGACCCTTTTAAGAACACTTTTTAAAAAATATATTTTTCAAATGTCTCAATGTAAATATTTTCTTTGTTTACATTTTGCCAAAGTTTAATCGATTTCGAGTTCGCATTCTGGTCTTGTTTGCACCTCAGTATTTTACTCCGATCCTTTGAATGAGTCACTGATCGTGAACACGTACATTTTTCACTTACAGCAGGTTATCAGTGGTTTGTACAGACACGTTGGTATGTTTACAGCAGGTTATCAGTGGTTTGTACAGACACGTGTGTATGTTTACAACAGGTTATCAGTGTTTTGTGCAGACACGTTGGTATGTTTACAGCAGGTTATCAGTGGTTTGTACAGACACGTGTGTATGTTTACAACAGGTTATCAGTGGTTTGTGCAGACACCTTGGTATGTTTACAGTAGGTTATCAGACGCGTCATAAGTTTTCAGTGGTTGGTAAAGACATATGGGTATGTACTTCATCAACCTCCACGTCCTCCAGGAGGCGGGCAGTAGGGGTGTGTACACTTCCATACCCTCGCTGTACACGTGGTTTTTGTCACACATTTCTGGATTGTGCCAGGCAGTTATCCCTCGTTCCTTATCCGTTCCTTTGAGAAGAAAAAAGTCAACTAATGTTACCCTAGAAATGTGCAAGACGCCAAAGTTTGCTGCGATTTTTTTTAAATAGTTTGTTCACTACTTTTAGTGAGTATTTTTTTGATTCTATGCGAGTCGAAGCTTTCTATGATTGCCAACTCTTTATCTTGGCAATCTGTTTTGACTTTGTTCTCTTCCCTTCTATTCAAGAATTATGGATTTTCAAATATGAAACATCTTCATCTTCCCTCCATAAACATAATCAATATCAACCTTGTTAGTTTTTAATGTAAAATGTTTCCAGTTGAAAGCTTCCTTAGTTTACTTCACTCATGACGGCTCCCAGGTACCACAACGGTCATAATTCAAAACAGGAATTGTTAAGAATACAAAATGAATGGATACCAATGAGATCATTTGATGTTTGGAACAGTGCCGATTTATCCACCCATGAATCCGTATCTGGTATTTTATTTCACGCACAGTTGGAATATTTTTTGTTACAATAGCAGTACGGTACGCATACCATTTTATGAAGACTCGGAACATGCGCATTAACACCAAAACTATCCCCTTTCCCACTATTTATAGTATAATCCGACCTTAGGTTGTATTTGTAGAATGGAGTGAGTAAAGACTGTCAGCATATCCACCTCATTAGTGAGATGTTTGAACCGTTAATTACCAACTTGGCCAGTAGTTTAACGTTCGTAACGGTTTCTTAATGGCAGATATGAAATTAAATTCAACTTCAAATCGGACCAAAACTGGAGAAAGGATACTTGAAAACTCAGAAGAAACGCTGTTTGGGATATTGTATGGTCCAATGGTTTTGATGATAACATCTATAGGGCCATCCTTTATCCTAATATTCAGCTTGGTTGACATCAGTGAATGTCCCAGGATATACATTATCATTGAATAATTGCAAATTCTGTCATGAAATCTAATGTCAAACATGCAACGCATTCTGGTTTCTTGGCACTTACCACGCACTGTATTGTCCAAGAAACAGGCCACAACACCACCACAAAGGCCGGGGTTACCAAGCAACGTCTTCGCTATATTGTTGTAGTAGCCATTACCTGTAGCAACGATTCATATCATGAGTATTCACAAACAGGATATACAACATTTCTAAAAAAGGTTAATGTCTTGAGCATACGATAAAATCACCTGCCAGAGAAATACAACAATGACCGGTCGATAACGTCAAAATCACGTAATGACATGTTCGTGTAATATCTGTGTTGTATTTACCTTGGAAAATCACCTGTATAGATTGGTTTTGTTTTGTTTTGTTAAATGTCCTACAAACAGCTAAGGTCTTTTAAGAATGTGTCTCCATTTGTGTTTTGTATGCGTAGTTGCTTGCAGGAGACATGGTATGTTGGTGTATTTGCCTCCTTGTGATAGCGCGGATTGACGTGTGTTGACGATTCCTGGATAAAGTATCTGTGTTGATTATACCAATGTATATTAACTGTGTTGAGTATACCTGTGTATAATTAACTGTGTTGAGTATATCCGTGTATAAATAACTTGGTTTTGTATACCTGTGTATAATTAATTTGGTTGAGTATACCTGTGTATAATGAAATTGGTTGAGTATACCTGTGTATTATTAACTGTGTTGAGTATATCCGTGTATAAATAACTTGGTTTTGTATACCTGTGTATAATTAACTGTGTTGAGTATACCTGTGTATAAATAACTTGCTTTTGTATACCTGTGTATAATTAATTTGGTTGAGTATACCTGTGTATTATTAACTGTGTTGAGTATACCTGTGTATAATTAACTGTGTAGAGTATACCTGTGTATAATTACATGTGTTGAGTGTACCTGTGTATAATTAACTGTTGAGTATACCTGTGTATAATTACATGTGTTGAATATACCTGTGTATAATTACATGTGTTGAGTATACCTGTGTATAATTAACTGTGTTGAGTATACCTGTGTATAATTAACTGTTGAGTATACCTGTGTATAATTAACTGTTGATTATACCTGTGTATAAATAACTGTGTTGCGTATACATGTGTAACATTAACTTTGTTGAGTATACCTGTGCATAACAACTGTGTTGATTATACCCGTATATAATAACGGTGTTGATTATACCTGTGTATATTAACGTTGTTGATAATTGGTAGTTGATTGTATAAGGTTTAATATCCTTTCAAAAGCTAAGGTCATTTCAGGACTAGCCACAATGAGTATTGTGGATGTGTGCTGGGGACTTTGTGTGTTGGTGTAACTGCTTCTTTATAACAACGCGGATCCGATGCCGACGTGTAGAGTGCTACCTCACTGAAATACCATGCCGCAGGCACCAAGTACAGCATTCCGGCCGGTTGCATTATACTAAAAACGAGTGAACCAGTGGTTGCAATTATTCCATTTGTTAAACGTTACGCAGCTACAATGTTTAGGACTTTAACATGTCCAAGCTTGTTTGTTTAATTTTGTTTAACGTCCTACTAACAGCTAAGGTCATTTAAGGACGGCCTCCCCTGTGTGCAACATGCATGCGTGTAGTGTATGTGTGTGTATTTTGGGAGGCTGCGATATGTTTGTGTTTGTCTCCTTGTGATAGCGCGGAACTGATGCCGACTTTATAGTGCAATCTCACTGAAACATACTGCGGAAGACACCCAACATTATACTGACAACGGCCGAACCAGTCGTCCCACTCCTAATTTGCTGAGCGTTAAGCAGGAGTATAAACTACCATTTTTAAAGACTTTGGTATTTCTCGGCCAGGGGACAGAACCCAAAGCCTTCCTCACAGGGGCGAACGCTCAACAAATGGCAAAAAGTGAGGCATTGTCAAGGGAGACATTAGGAAGAAGAAAGTTATTTAGAAAGGAGAGAAGAAATAAGGTCCCAAATTTAGTCGCCTCTTACGATCATGCAATTGGGGGCAGCAGGTACAATTCTTACGCCCTACCTGCAGGGTCGACATGTCCAAGCATTTAGACAGAGATCATTGTCTTCCTCACCAATATAAAGTCGGCATCACAAGGAGACAAACACGAACATATCGCAGCCTCCCAAATAACACGCATGCATCTTGCACACAGGGGAGGCAGTCTTTAAATGACCATAGCTGTTGATAGGACGTTAAACAATACTTAACCAAACTTCCTCACATGGGCGAACACTCAACATAAAAGACAAAAGTGAGGCATTGTGAAGCAAGGCGTTAGGAAACAAAGGGAAAACAGGTGTATTAAAAAATACATAAAATTCAAATATTGCAACTTTAACGCTTTTGTGTCCCCATGTAAAGAGCACGACAGCAAATCTCCTATTTTGCAGGGGGTTCACTCATTAGTTGCCTTTTACGGTTCCCTTTGCAATCCCCGACTTACAAAGGGGTACTGCTTTAATGATACCTAGGTACATTACCTGTGTTGATGTCATCTGGATTAGTTTCGATCCAATTCGGAAGCATGAGACCCGTCAGGATTGCAATGCCGATAATAGCAAGGTTACGAGTCGATGACAGCGAGACAGCGGCCAGATTAGACAGGACGACGCCATTGAACGTACCAAACATGACGATCATCGCGCCACCTAGGACGGGATAGGGGATAGTGATGAAGACTGCTGATACCTTCCCCAAAATTCCAAACACGATATATATTAGCGACACCAACAGGAACACGTCCCTACTGGCTACCTGTTGAAACATAATTTATACAGAAGTCAACGGTTGCAAATATTCGTCGTTTCCAAAGAATTCTTAAATATCCATTCTGTGAAGGAATGTTTGCAGATACCCGAAGAATTCTCTCAACCCGTATAACTTCCATTTTACCTACAGGATACATTGATGGACTAATCATATTGATATCTTAATTTTTTTATTACAAACGAACGTCGGTTCATGTGCTGCTGTTGCGTTTATACCTTTGTGATTCCAATTGCCCCGATGTTGCCGCCAAATGTGCTAGTGGCGTGTCCGCACCCAATGACCCCTGACAGAGCACTACAGAAGCCCTCTACGGCAATTCCACGGTTCACTCCGTGTCGTGGAGGAGGAGGCACATTACATATCCGTGCGCATGCATAATAATCCCCTACCGAGTCTAGAATTGATAAAATGGTGCCGATGAGGAATGCGATGAATACTCCGATGTTAAACGATGGCTGGCCAAATTGATCTACGACAAGCAAATAGGTGTTAGTTAATGTCAAGACAAGTTATGTAAACTTGAACTCGAAAGTCGGCATAATCTCAGTGCTAATGCAAATTTACAAACGAGACAAACACGCATACACGGAGGCATGTATTTTTAACAGATGTATGGGAAAGGAAGACACCTAACAACTGAATTTTCTTAATAACATTTTTTGTTTTGTTAATTTTTGTTCTGTAGGCTGTTCCTAAGAATATAACCGCCTCCTCTACTGGAACTAGTATACCTTCAATCTCACGTAGGTTTATGCGCAACAAGTAATGCAGATCGCAACGGAAGTTGTCCTCTCGCTACACAAGCCATACTTACATCACACAAGCCATACTTACATCACACAAGAAAGATTTTACATAAAGAGCAACCTTATTGCCATGTATGTGACCAGGCATTTGCATTTTATGATTAAATGTGCCGTTTTCAAACAAAAACATATTCTATAAAGTATCGTGTATGAAGCGTTTATTTTATAGTTTCTTTTTAATCATATGTGATTATTAAACAACCAATTTGTTCACTTGACGTATTTAACTTTTGTATACGCATTAAACACTAGTTGTATTTATTCATTTTCGTTAATGTTTATTTTGTCCTAAATGAATTGCAATGTCGATGGGTGGTTAAACAATACAAAAGAAAAACCGAAATCCTTTACGTATCGACTGATTCAATACGGATAACACACTTGGGTAAGGCATACGGAACCAAGAGGCGTTGGTAACGATTCCAGCCCGGGCGTCTGTTCTGGCGAAAAACTCGGACTGACTTGGGTCGTCTGTTAGTGCCCCTGTGTACGTCATCACGGCCGACACTGACCAACCCACCAACATCCCCATCAGGACCTGCAATAAAAAAACATAAACATCATCTCGTGGAAATGTGAATATACGTAGATACATCAAATTATGTGTGCTTTACTTAAACTGCTGATGTATAACACAGAAAAACTACTGATGTATAACAAAGAATACCGTATGCTATATTGGTGTTATTCACCAAATTGGTATTGATTTCTTCAAGTATTTAAATATGTATGTTAACTTCGATATGTGTACAAATATTTCATCTGTTTGTTGATGGTTTTACCATATATATATATATGTTTGCAAATTATGAAAGAAATTAACCTGTTAGAGAGATCTATTCAATGATAATATTTGAACTATTTTACTGAACCTGTTACATGTTTCTAATTTACCGAGAACACCTGCTGAAGAGGGTACCAGTAGATGTATAGGCCTCTCTTTTTGGACCAAGCTGGAAGCGGCATTTTCTTGTGACCGATATACAATGACATGAAGATAGCAGTGATGGCGGTGCTGCATCAGAATCAGTACAAAATAGTTTACTTTTTTTCCTGAAAATGCGTCTTCATTAATAAAGAGTTAAAACAACTGAAATCATATACAATTTATAAAAAAGGAACATTAACCCTGTTATCATTCTTAGAAACTATTCACTTACTTTTAAGAAATCTTTGGAAACATTATCATTTCATCTTGAAATAAAAAGCAATAATATTTAAAGGGCATAGCATGATCTAATTTCACACTTTGATGTGAAACTGATTTTTTTTAATAAGATTGAGAAATAGCGAAGGCAATCTCATTTTAAGCTCATCATCATCGTAATCAAATGGATGGCTTGTTAAATGGTCCATCGACTGCCCTGAAATTTTTTTTTATTGTTATTTCCCAAGAAGTACGTACAGATTTTTCCGAATTTGGTGTAAAGGCTTTCCTTGGTCTATAGATGTGCGTGTTTAATTTTCAGACTGATGTAGCATTGTACCCACCTTGTTTTATGAAAGTTGCAGTTAGTTATTTTTCAAGATTGGTTTGGTTTAGTATTGTTTAACGTCATATCAACAGCTATGGTCATGTAAGGACCGCCTCCTCTGTGTGCAAGATGCTTGCGTGTAGTGTATGCGTGTGTGTTTTGGAAGGCGCGAAACTAATGTGATAGCGCGAAACTGATACCGACATTATAGTCGAAAACTAAAGGCCAAAACGTGAGGCATTGTCAAGAGAGACATTAGGAAGAAGAAAGTTGTTAAGAAAAAAGAGAAAAGATAAGATCCCAAATTTAGTCGCCTCTTACGATCATGCCATGGGGGCAGCAGGTACAATTATTATATTATTAAGCCCTACCTGCAGGGTGTTATTTTTCAAGAAGTACAGATCATCTTCAAATGTCATTATATATATCGTTCTTCCCGATTCCTAGTTTTACATTCCTTGTTTTGATATATCTCTTCTTTTGTTTATATCTTACACGAAATGTTTCAGTTGATATGAATGGCACTGTCACACCCAGCTTTGTTAAGTTTCAACCAAAGTTACCACACGATACATTTACAGTTGACAACACTATAAATAAAACATATAAGAAAAAAGAAATGATAAAACGTATGTAAAACATGCTCTGTCGATGAGATATATTGTAACGACTTTTCCTTTCACAATGATATAGTTTGTTTCTAACCATAGGTATCAGTTTAGTGTGTTACTTACATGCCCGCTATTCCCCAGTGGCACATGGCAAATTTACTTGTTACACGCGAAAGAAAAATCCCTCCGAGTAATATGGTTGGTACGATAGTGACTGGTCCAATGAACCGGAGCAAGAACCCCACCGTACCCGTCGCGCCGACAAGGAAGTGAATCACACCAGCCAGGATAAGACAGCCCTGGAACTAACGGTAAAGCCATACTGGTATCCGCTGTAAAATTATATTACTGTCAGACATTCCTGGAACTAACGGTAAATATTTTACTGTCAGATAGCCCTGGAATTAACGGTTAAGTCATATTACTGCACTGGAATTAACTGTAGCTGTACCAATTAGCAAACAAGGATGGACTCAATCTGGTCTATGACTGGGAAAATGCAAGACGAGGAAGGGAAACTAATGTTCTCCGACCTCTCTGTGGTAATGTGTGGCATCCTAACCATACCACACAGTAGTGCACACTAGAACAGAACTGAGCGGCGAGCAAGTCTTGAGATAGTACTCTAGAAAGTCTCCCATGTTTTTAAATCATCAAGCACCCCTCAGGATTTCACGGACAAGGAACTGGACCATAGCAGGGGCCGTACTACAGGTCTCTAAAATCCTAATGAAATTCTGCCAGCAGCTGCGTTGTGTTACTTAACAGATTTGACCCAATGTGCTGGGTTGTGTTACTTGACAGATTTGACCCAAAGTGCTGGGTTGTGTTTATTGTATAACTTTATTTTGCAATAAGAATAAAAAAGAAATACAAAATCATCTGAAATGATGCCAATTATCAGTTTGATATTGTCACTTAAAAAATGTTATCAGGATACACCAGTATTCACCCAGAGCACCTAGGAATTCAAATTTTCCAGGGCAGAACCCCGTACCCCACTAACAGGAGGGGCTAAGACGCCTCCTCCCCTGCCTGGCCGCTCGGATGCTGGCTGTGCAAGCATATAGATACTGCACTTTCCTATGTCAAACTACACTTTAATTCCTCTTTGGCGAATAAAAGGGTAAACAGGTCAGCAACTTGTTTAAATGTACACCTTCTATATCATTAATTTGTATTTACCTTTAAATACTTTGACTCATGCTTTATTTTTCAAATTAGTCATGGACATTGTTACCGTAAAATTGGAGGTTTCCATCAACACCACGCCAGAAGTTGCCTATTTGGCAGGACGATATAGAGTTATTTCGAGAAATGGCATTGGCAAACAATAAAAAAAACTCACCTCTTGTAGTTTTGTCAATGCCAGCTGCAGCTTCAATGTAAGCTCATCGCTGACTGTAATGTTGACATTAACGTCGCTCGTCAGGAAACTCATGTCCGTCCCGGAAGCTTGAAATGTTAATATTTATAATAAGATTTCTTTGAGAAGTCGAAGGACAAGAGCTATTTCACGTAAAATCGGAAAAGGAAACTGATATGCCACACCCCCTTTGCCGATTGCGACTAGTGTCGTAGCCCCGAGCAGATTCAAGGCTTGTCTTCTGCTTCTTCTGCGGAAGAAACCAAAACTGATCTGTTGCAAGGATGTTAAACAGCAAACAAAGAAAGCTACAAAGAATTGTTGCAACGGACGCGAACCATATCGAACACAGGCACATTATTCGAATGCACACATGTCGGAATACAAGCGGATATTTTGGGAAATTCTTTTAAGGAAATACGCGAAGAGGAACAAACCAATTCTCTAAAGTTGAACATTTTTATGACAATTACACAGGTATACAACTTATACCAGACGATAGGGTACACAGCAGGCCCCTGAGATGGTAGTTTAGCCTACTTGTGAGCCAGTCTGTGTTAATGTACAGACTAACACACCACTACCCTAATGTCAAAACATTGTACTCGGGCTGACACGTATTTTCTTTGTACGTAAACAATTCATACTACCAGCATTTATGACGTTAAACAAAATAAAACCAAACCATTCACATTACCATTCAAACTGTGACAAGCTTGTTAACAAAATCACCGCTGACAAATCACCGCTGACAATTATTAAACAATCTCAGTGATATGATATCGCGGTAGTAGACAGAATTAACTAAGAAATGATGGTTCGAAGTAAATCGTATATCAAGTATTTTGAACCTTCCATGGCGAATTTTGTTTTAAACGAATTGACAACATTCCTGGTCTGCAGAAATAATCAATAAGTTTGTTGATGTCGGTTTCTTTGCAAAAAATTGCATGGCATTCAATGACCAGTTTGTTAAACGTCACCGCAACAGCCAGGCTCTTATTAGTACGGGTGCCCAGAGACACACCGCCTAAACCCAAAAAGTGGATAGAAAAGAAAAAGATCCCAAATGTTGCAATGAGGGCAGGCAGCAGATCAATTTTGGTCACTTACATTATCCCCTTCGTAAAAGAAACAAAAGAAACTAGAAAATGTGTGCAAGACATGATAATGTATGCCCCCCCCCCCCCCCCTTCTATGGCGGGGGCATAAAAACCCGATTCTGCAGGGGGCACATTAGAGGCCTTTTAAGATACAAATGCAGTGAGATACAGCAGGCCTATTTTTCTCTCGAACCACAAGTAGCATAGACCGCGGAGAGGAAGTTGTATCTGCATTGGCCATACTTGCATAATATTTGTCGTAAGGGAAACTAACCTTACTGTCATACACATGATCGAACTTTTACTGTCAAACATTTTATGAATGAATGCGCTTTGACGATGTGCCGTCTTTGAACAGCAAGTAGATGTTTTACAAAATTCGTGTTTAAATTACTTCCCAAAGGATTGTGTTCAAATCATATTCAAACTACAGATACTTTAATAATAATACCGACATTATTTATTATTCATAATGCGTGTTACAAATAGTCCTTTATACTTAACAATGTCGCTGACTATCTTATCTTAAATAAAACACTGCACTCATTGTTTGAGCAGAAGTAAAGTTCAGTGATATGTAGACTGGGTGTATATTTATACCTAGGGTCACCCAGTACATGGGCTTTGCCACATGTATGTGAGCATGTTATGTCACACCTGAGTGAAAGAACGTATACCTGAGGTTGTGCATGCAGGTCGTTCTATATGAACGACGCATGCGCAACCACTTTACCTCACACAGCACAAACCCTTACCCAGTCACTCAGAGCTGAACAGCAGATCATGCTAGATGAAGCAATAATCTGCCAAGGACTTACCACCCGGAAGAGGCCCTGGTAAGACAGACTAACTATAAACTCTAGTATAATATATATAATATATATCAATTTATTAAGTTCATAATGAACAATTGATTACCATTTTTGTACATTATTACAGATTATCAATAGAAGTGACTATTGTGTAAATATATATTTTACAGGCTCTTTTTCCGAGAGACATGAATGGCTAATAAAACATTCTCGAACAACGGAGGACTTGTGTGTCTAAATTGAACATGCCGAAGGTCTTACATATCCTTGACCAAGGATCACGCTTTCTATGAAATGTCAGCAAGTCTTCAGGAAACGTTTTATTACTTGAGTTACTTACATGTATCAATCACTTTACAGAAATCTTTGTCTATGAGCTGTATCGTCATCAGAGGAACAACATAATCAGCAGATGGTCCTTGAAATAATGGCAACCTACGAAACGATAAATAGAGTATTGGACATGCATTTCGATGTCATTGTGATCCGTCATAAATTTACCCAAACTCGTTTTTCGAAATGGACCTGCTTTGTTTGTATCAGAGGTCTAAATCTTCACAAGAATCATTATAAACAATGGTTCATCGATAACTGAACGTTACTCAACTAAGCCATCATCAAAACTTGCTACAGTCGTATTGTGTCAAAGTATTTAAGAACGAAGTGGGGTTATGGTAATGGACTTTTAAGAAATCAAAGATACGTTTTTTGTGAAGATTATTATGTGATATATGGCATAATTATATAACAGATAGAACAATTAATGATGCTTTTCATTGAAAAGTTTTTTATAACTCTTTTGTAAGGCAGAATATAACGTAGACCATATTGATACTATCGTATTGGGAAATACAAAAAAAAATATCTACTGTATAAGTGATGAGAACAGTAATAAGGTTGAAGACATTATAATATCTTGTATGGATGGATGGATTGGGTGTTAAAGTAGTAGTCGTTGTTTATCCATGAAAAAAATCATAAAAGGGTGGAGTTTTCAGCTGTTAAAAAGAAGCTTTTGTTTTTAAATTCACATTTTTGTTTGTGAAAACGCTGCATTGCAATTTGAATCTGAAGTTATCTCTTGACACTATTATGCATGTTATTTCATAAAATTATCGCCTCGTGAGTGTTTTTAGCTCACCATCATCAAATGGTGGGCCATTTGTAATCGGAGGTCTTTCTCAAACTTCACATGACGGTTTCCCATCGTCCCCAGTTATGCATATCGAATTTTGGGACTCTTCGGAAAAAACCATGATGGCCGGCCAATAGATGCCATCTTGATTTTTTTAAGAAATACATTTTGTAAGTCCAATTTCTCAGAAATAACTGGAGGGATTTTTTCTTTTTCAATTTTGATATGTATGTTCCTCTTGGTGTTTGGTTGTGAATGCTTATTTTTGAGACTAACTGGATGAGCAAAATGGCCGACAGGCGGCAGTCTTTCATTTGGACTTTGAATGCTATTGTTATTAGTCGGGAAGATCTAGAGATATCGTTCTGAAATTTAGTACGCAGGTTTCCTTTGATCTTGAGTTGTGCATGTTAACCGGATAGATTAATTAGATAAAGAAGAGGCCTAGAGGGCCTGTATCGCCTATTTGGATCTAAGCAATCATGGCAAAATATTATCCAAATAAGCTCCAAGGGAATTGGCTAGACCCCCAAAGCCAATCTTTGAAGTATATCTGTATTCGATTTTTCATGCCCAGCAATTTTATGTTATGTTTTGGGTTGGGGATCTCAACTGTTTCAAAGGTGTGACTCGGAAACTAGGTCCCTAGGGTTGCGGCCAGACCCCAGGATCAATTATAATATCATGACAGAATTTGTCTCTTTATGCCTAACACTTTTATATGTAGTTTTGGGATGGGGATCTTAACCGTTGCAAATCATGACCCAGGGAAACACGAACATATCGCAGTCTCCCAACACTACACGCATGCATCTTGCACACAGGGGAGGCCGTCCATTTATTAAATGACCACAGCTTTTGATAGGATGTTCAACAATACTAAACCAAACCTTGTGATAGCGCGAATCTGATGTAATGCTATATCACTGAACAACCATGCCGAAGGCACCCAGCACAGCATTATTCCGCCCTGTCACATTATACTGACCCGCCCTGTCACATCAGTTGTTGGATTACCCTAATGGTGAACGTTAAGTAAGAATAGAAACTACCATTTTTAAGGTCTTTGGTATGTACCGGCCGAAGGACAAAATCTTTTGCCTTCTTTACCTGAGCGAACGTACAATATTAAAGCTTGAGGCGAGGTATTTCCAAGCATGGCATAAGTAGAGAGAAATTTAATGATCCAGAGTATTGAACGATACCTGCAGTGGGTTACTTTATCGATCCCCGACTTGCAGGGGTGTGGACATTTTCATGTTCAATTTGAATTTACTGCTTAATAGGAATGCTAATTATAGCCATCCTTACGTTAACCTACCTGATACCGAGCGTCACCATCATAGCGGTCGTGATCCCGGACATCAGTAGAGTCGAGCTCAGCAGGTTCGTCCTGAGGTCCGGAAAGTCGGATGCACAAGCAACGTCGGCAACAAGTGAGGAGACGACTAGGGACGCGGACACAGACAGCAGGGCTTGCTGTGATACAGAAATAAACAAAATATTTTATTGTTATAACGTGACGGATAGTCATCTTTTGGAACTAAAAATAAATAAATGCAAAGAAAGGCAGTTGGCAAAATACATTATAAAGTGGACGTCTCCACAATGCCTAGACTGTCCGCTACACAAATAGATGGCATGTTTCAGGTTATTCTAACCCAAGTACTTGTTTTGTTGGTATCAGATTGATATTTGTGTTTTGCACATTTTATTCCAATCAAACCTATTCATTTCGATGATAAGACGTGAAGATGTAAACAAAAAATGGTTAATGAACACACCTTAAATGACTCCATATTAGCTTTATAGGATTAAGACACCCACGAAGAAAAACGTCCACAACAAAACAAATTACTATGAATTATAGTGGTCTCTTGTCAAGAATATGTCCAAGAGATAATATATACAAGTTTCGAAAATAAAGGTGCAATAGCAACAAAAACCTGAGGACACTGACCAACTTATATGTACAGTATGGGACACTGGGCACTGACTAACTTATATGTTCAGTATGGGGCACTGACTAACTTATATGTACAATATGGGGCACTTACTAATTTATATGTACATTATGGGGCACTGACTAACTTATATGTACAGTATGGGGCACTGACTAACTTATATGTACAGTATTGGACACTGACTGACTTATATATACAGTATGGGACACTGACTGACTTATATGTACCGTATGGGACACTGACTGACTTATATGTACAGTATGGGACACTGACTACCTTATATGTACAGTATGGGACACTGACTGACTTATATTTACAGTATGGGACACTGACTAACTTATATGTACAGTATTGGACACTGACTAACTTATATGTACAGTATGGGACCCTGACTGACTTATATGTACAGTATGGGACACTGACTACCTTATATGTACAGTATGGGACACTGACTGACTTATATGTACCGTATGGGACACTGACTGACTTATATGTACAGTATGGGCCACTGACTAACTTATATGTACAGTATGGGACCCTGACTGACTTATATGTACAGTATGGGACACTGACTAACTCATATGTACAGTATGGGACACTGACTGACTTATATGTACCGTATGGGACACTGACTGACTTATATGTACAGTATGGGACACTGACTACCTTATATGTACAGTATGGGGCACTGACTAACTTATATGTACAATATGGGGCACTTTCTAATTTATATGTACAGTATGGGGCACTGACTAACTTATATGTACAATATGGGGCACTTACTAATTTATATGTACATTATGGCGCACTGACTAACTTATATGTACAGTATGGGGCACTGACTAACTTATATGTACAATATGGGGCACTTTCTAATTTATATGTACAGTATGGGGCACTGACTAACTTATATGTACAATATGGGGCACTTTCTAATTTATATGTACAGTATGGGGCACTGACTAACTTATATGTACAATATGGGGCACTTACTAATTTATATGTACATTATGGGGCACTGACTACCTTATATGTACAGTATGGGGCACTGACTAACTTATATGTACAATATGGGGCACTTACTAATTTATATGTACATTATGGCGCACTGACTAACTTATATGTACAGTATGGGGCACTGACTATCTTATATGTACAGTATGGGACACTGACTAACTTATATGTACAGTATGCGTTTCGGTGTAAACAGTTTCTTTAATTTTCTGTGGCAATGTGGTATTTATCAATGAGTCACAATAAGCTGATGAAACGAGGTATGTATTTAGAGTTTTGCTAAACTTTAAGGGATGCTATTAATTAGTCCTCACCAATACTACCGTAGGTATCTATTAGTTTACACTCCATCACTGTATCCGTTCGTCCGTGTAGAATAAATCTGCCGTTATCCACGTAGGACCCCCTGCAAAATTTAGGATGGGTGTTTATGCCCTCTGCTTTGAGACACAAAAGCGACCAAAATAAATCTGCTTCACCAATTTCAGGAATCTTTATATTTCTCTCTACTTCTAACTACATTATATTCCCTAGCACCTTGCTTTTGACTGTGGTGTTGAGCGTTTGCCCAGGTGAGGAACGCAATGGGTACTGTCCCAGTGCCAAGTTCTTAAAAATGGTAGTTGTTATTCCATGCTTAACGTACAGCGTTAAGGGTAATGGCAACAATTGGGTTACCCGTTGTCAGTATAATGTGACCGGGCGGAATGCTGTGCTGGGTGCCTTCGGCATGGTATTTCAGTGTGGAAGCACTACAAAATTTGCATCAGATCCGCGCTATTACAAGAAGGCATATACACCAACATACCCTGCCTCTAGCACACATACACATGCCCGAATACACATTGAGGCGTATAATGCGGCCAATGTATGTTTGATGAACTCATATGAACTTTTTGGACTTTGTGGAATTTAAGTAGTCCGTTTTTTTGTAGTTTTTAAAAGGACACAACAACGCTTTGATCCGAAATAAAGTAACTACATATTATTTCATTAGATATGATACCAGTTCTATTATTGAACCATATGAACTCAACATTTGAGAAAAATATATCATTGCTTGTTTAACGCAAGAGGATAGAATAAGTATATCATTGAATGTATCAATTCAAAGATACTGGCATGAATTGTCTGTCCTGTTGCGTGACTTGAAGTAAACTATTTAAGACCCGTGGATTAATAATGTTTTAAGAACTTATCTTGTGCTTATTTGTTCTACAATATATGTACCTTGCTTTTAGAAAGGACATTGTTAGCTTAGCACATGACAGTTGAAATGCTGGTCTGTTTGCCCATGCAAAATCGTTAAAAGCAAATATGAAGTCAAATATGTTTCTAAATATACGGCAAAAAATCATAAATATTAGTAACGAGATTCCTATCTGTGATCGATCGTAAAAAGGTCGTTTTAATACCACTATGTGCTCGTAACGATACGGTCGCCATGCATTATTCATTTGTAACTTTCATCACACATTCGCATCTACAACTGTCGTAAGCATCGTTGCTGATAGTGATGCATACGGCTATCGAAATTCCAAAAACCACAGCAGCGTTCAGTGTTTTAAGATCCCGTGACCGATCATAGGTGTCGGTACCAGGTTTTTTTATGTCGCAATTTATACAGTTTCCTCGGTCTGAAAAGTAATCCTCCTGTCTTCTGAGCTAGGGATGATATATTGAATTGCTTTGTTTGCCTTTATCGTGCTACACTTACAGTTCTGAAATTATTGTTTTATGTTTAATAAACTACAAAAAATGTTTGCGAATACTTTAGTATAATTTGACCCACTGGGCAGTCATACGGTTATACTTTGACACTATTTACTATTGAATTCTATAAAAGACGTCTGCCAAAGTCCAGAAACCAATCTTTATAAAGTTGACCTTTTAAGCAGGTTTATATATCGTGATACGTTTCGTTAGCATCGTACTACCATACGTATAGTATTTTAAGGTATGCATATCGTTGCTGCCCAATTCTATGCAGAAACGGTTGTATAGTTCAAACAGGTGAGGAATGTCCTAGGCTCTGTCCCAAGGCCAGGACATACTAAAGTCCTTATTCCCAGCTATGTCATTAAGGACGCTTTAGGGTAATGACAACAACCGGTTTACCCATTGTCAGTACCATTGTCAGTATAATGTGACCGGGTGAAAAGATGTGCTTCGGCATGGTATTTCAGTGAGATAATACTATAAAGTCGACATAAGATCCGCGCTACTATTACAAGGAGGTAGGTACGTCAACGAACCCTGTATCGGGTACACATACACACATGGAGGCAAGTCCTTAAATGACGTTAGCTTGTCAGAGGACGTTTAACAATGTACATCCAAACCAATCATGCGAGGTTCAAATGTTTAAAAAATATTTGTAGCTACATTTCGCTTTTATTCAGTAATGAACAAAACAAGCTCCCGAGGTCAACAACACATGACAATTGTAAATCAACCCCATCTAGTCAGAGCTCTTCTGAAATTTTGAAAGTGGCTATGGTTGGATATATTTTCGAAAAGACCAACAGGTTTTTATATAGGTTAGAACTGTAGAGATAGTTACCGTCTCGAGAGAGCAGTATTATTATAAGAAAGTTAGCCTACAAGGGAAAACATCTGTAACATCGATTCGTAAACCTCTTTTTAAACAGTAAACATCTTTACAAATCTACACTTCCTGAAAACTGATTGTCTGTTACCAAATGATACAACTAACTGCACCCGCTTTTGATTTCCAAAGTAGCGTTTGTGCTTTACGTTTCCGCTTATTTTATGTCATTTTATCAACCTTTTTAAGCACTAATGGCCTTCTATTTCTGAACTTGCAGTTGAGATTGTAATGCTAACAAACTCATTAATGGTTTTTTTTATGATTCATTAAAAGTAATGTTATGTCATTGTGCATTATCATTTGGTTTGTTTTGAAAATGTCCAGATCTAATATTGACAATTTGCTTTATGTTACATCATACATGTCGACTTAGAGTGTTGTTAAATGTTAGTGTCGAATGACATATTAGTCGGGCTCTTGTTCACCGTTTACCTGAAATGCCAGAAAGATGGATACAAGGATAGGTGGTCGGTCGGATACGTTGTAAAGTAGACCCCCTGGTTGATCGTCCTTCTCAATGACTACTTCAGTTGGAATGTCTGCTACACAAGTACTTGCATTGTCAGGAGACGGCTCATCCATTTCGGTTGCATCGAAACGAGTTTTTAACTGGTCTGTTCTTGACTCATCCATTTCCATTCGCGTCAACCCTTAACGATCCGCTTGTTTGAAATGACTTAGGTGTGACGGATGTTAGATATGGTACTGTAACGGTCTCCTGTAACAGATGTGCTCTCGCTTAATTATCAACAACTCATCTGTGCCTTATATACGTCAGTTTATACCATGCTCTATTGGTTTGATTGTTGGACGTCAATAATACTCCAAACTTGTTATTCTTATGTGTTGTGGGAAGGCGGGGTCTTGTGCAACACAAATATATAGATTAAAAAAGTTTATACATGTACACCTTATACTATTTTGCTAGTGAAGTTAAAATATCCATCTCAAGGCTTCTAAGAAATTATTCTTGAGATGTATATTTCAATATTTTGTTACATTTCTATTTACAAAAATGCATCAGAAGGGTTTTTAGAACGCTATTCGTTACACAATTGGTCCTAGTGGTGCTACACGACATATAACGTATACTTTTTTTTATCTTGTATTTATTATTGTCTTTCTGTCATGTTCAAACTTAAAATACGTAATAAATGCGAACATTAGAAATGGACATACGCAGACTGTCAACACATTCCTATCCACTTTATGTAAGGACAAACTGTTCTTAATAGACACATAGAGCGCCTTCCTCATCATGGTCTACCCGCCCGCTCGAGATATGCAGCCACTGATCCCTCAGGTATCCACATTAGCGAAGCAGGACCCAATATCATGATACGACTGCTACTCGAATTCGCTCACAGTGAATGCATTCTAGATATGCATAAACCCCTTAACCGTACTGATGAAACTAAAAAGAGAGTTTTAAGTAGTCAGTTAACACCCCCTGGCAGCGAAAAGCCAGGCCCGAAAACGAGCAAGCGAGAGAACGATAATGAGAGTCAGGAGCTTACTGATACCACTTCGTAATTAACACATCGTGACTTTATATATATATATAATACCTCATATTAGTATGTATATTGTGTGCCTACGAATTGGATCCAAACTGTCCTGTACTTGATCATTGATAGTATATTCATTAAAGTAAGTATGTATATAAACTATTTCTTATCCATACACCCTACTATGCAGAACAGCAATAACTCTTACATTGCATGTAAATGGGCTTAGAGACTATAAGAAAAGTAAATGGGCTTAGAGACTATAAGAAATATACAAAATGTTCCAATGGATCAATACACAAAAGTATCAAATTATTTGTTTACAAGAAACACATTGCACAAACCAAGACATGGTGAAATGGAACTCAGAATGGAAAGATATTGGGGGTCGAACAATAAAAGTATATGGAATAATGGTACGTCAGAATCAAGAGGAGTAGCAATATTATGGAAAAACAACCCAAATTTAACAATAACGGAAGGTAAAAGGGACAATGAAGGCAGAGTCATATCCTGTATATTAGGATCCGATACAAAGTCAATAAACATAATCATTGTATACTCGCCCAATAAAGGACATGAGAGAAAACTTCTTTTCAAATCACTTCGTAATTTCTTTGAAAATAATTATAATTCCAAAAATATTGTTATGGGAGACATTAACTGTGTAATAAACAAAAGCAGGGTTAGAGTCCCATCTCAAAACAATGATGACATAGGTAATGTAGAACTCAAATCATTTATGTCAAATTTTGAACTTGAGGATATTTGGAGAAAGCGTAATGCAGTTGCTGAAAAATATACTTTTGAGAGAGGGGTATCTAAATCCAGAATAGACTTTATCCTTACAGAAGCACACATCAACAACTTCATCATAGAAACAAAAATTAAACACTGCCCTTATAGCGATAACAATGTCTTAACATTAAAATTAGCAATGAATGAAATCCAGAGAGGACCAGATAACTGGAAATTGAGTGAGAACAGAATAAATAGTGATTTATTCAGTAATGCATTTGAAATTAGTTGGAACAGCTGGAAAGAAGAGATTAAAACACATGATAATATATTGGACTGGTGGGAAATCATAAAAACCAGGTTCAAATCCTTGTCTATAGAAATAGGAAGAAAGATATGTATACAAATGTACCTGAAAAGGAACTTAAACAAACTGAGCTTGAACTAGAAAATCTTGCCAACAAAAATTCAGAGGAACAGGCCACACTAGAAATGATCAACAAATTAAAAAAATAAAGATTACTATCGCAATACAGCTGATGCAACTAGAGTCAGATCAAGAATACAAACATACGAAGAAGGCGAAAAATCTACAAAATATTTTTTCAATTTAGAAAAAATAAACGTTGAAAATAAACAATGGCATCGGATTAAAGGGGAAGATGGAAACATAAAACATTTTACACGAACAGAGAAAGTTTATTCTAAATTATTTACAACGGAAGGATGGATTTTTGATTCGAAACTCTCTTTCATAACACATATAAAGTATCTGAAGGATAAGTGTTCCAATGCGTTAAACATTATACGAGTCCTTTCTCATACTGATTGGGGAGCGGACCGTGAAATGCTTTTGCGCCTACACAGATCACTTATTCGAACAAAACTGGATTATGGTTCTATGATTCAATCTGTTCCAAGTAAAGATCACCGACTTCTCCATTAAGGAAAAGTTTGCGAGGAAAGCATTTGAACTACATTTGAACTATTCGCTGATGGAAGGATCTGTGGACTCGGCTTTCATGTGTCTGAGAGAAAATGATTTAGTCAGAGGTTCCTCCTCTATAAAGTAACTGACAGATTTCAAAATGTCATGTCACTGTTGGTATAGTTCTTGCAGCCTTTTGAAAAAGTTCATGAAGTCCTCAAAGGTATGAGAGAGTTGGTACAGTTCCTATTTCTCATCCTCCTTTCTCCCATCAATAACCATCCCTGTCTGTTGTAATATTGATTGCTTTCCCCCCCTAAAATAGAACATAGTTACCATATAATTTCTGCACCAGCAATAATGTTTAGAGATGATATTCAAACAAATAGGAGGCATAGCAATATGAGCTTGTATAGTGAGAAATAAGGCATTAAAGCTGAGGAGTTCATTAAAATGTTTCAAAAACATTTCAATAAGTCAATCTCTTTGGTAGCAGAACTAAATATAAACAAAATGTACATTAAATTCAACTTATAACAGCACATCATATGGGGGCTTAAGACATCTAATTCCTTAGGTGGTAAAACATGTGTACATAAAAAGGTACCAGTAAAAACAAAACAAAATTAGTTTAAACACACGCACTTAGATATTCACGGTTTTCATTAATACAAAAGATGAAGCAGAACATCACTCTCCCCTGGTTGTTTCCATAAAGAAGAAATTAACCAGGAAACATGGAGATGTCCATTGCACTCCTTTATTTTGCTTACAATGTGCAAATGTGCCTACTATGTGCTAATAAGCTTTCCATGTTATGGTTTTGTTTTTTATGTGCTGTATGCAAATGTTCTAAATGTGCTTAAATTACCATGTGCTGATGTGCTTACCGTGTTCAATGTGCCTATTAAGTGCTTTCCAAGTGATAAACTCTTTTTCTGAGCTTACAGTATACTACATGTACATACATGTTTTTATTTTATTTTTCCATGTTGTAATATTTTGGTCTCTGTTATTATACTCATGTTTTGTCTTTGTAGCTTATGTTGTATGTTTTGCAAAATGGACGTAAAATATATATTTTTGTATCTTGTACGTGCTCAAGGATTTTATCTGTAGTTTTTGGGACTATATATAGAAAAACTTTACCCCAGTATGAGGAATTGTTTTACACATTTATCATAAAACAAGTTATGTTCAGATTTCAGACAGAAGATACTCTAAAATTGTACAACTCAGAAAAGGTTGAAAAATATTTATAGTTCATTTTTTTCTGCTTAGAAATATTTAATCTCTAAATTACAAATGATAACTGTTTTAACAGGTCTAGTTTCCGAATTGGAAACCAAACCCTGTCTGACCTATAAATGATCATTATATAAGGCCAATTAAAAGTTTAAAACAAATATTGAGTTTATGCTAACCCCACAGATACTGGACACACTAATAGTAATATGATGTGTATAAACTATGATATATTATACACACTATACTTATTGGTGTGTTCGACACCAGTGTGGTTAACCAGACTTATCTCAGATTTGTGTTCTACAATACCCTTAAGTTTTTATATGCACTGTTAAAGTCAGAACTCCTGCTCTATATTAGCGCAGTAAAGATATTTTTCAAATTAACAATAAAATGCCTAGCTAATACATACCTACCCTATTTTTTTCTGATAGTAGAAACACAAGTAATTTGTTTGGCCTAATGTTTCTGTCATTTCATAATATTTAGAACTACTATACTTGTTTAAGTTTCCAAAACATCAAGTAGTATAACAATTGAAACTTCAATGAAAGCCAACATCACAATGAATCTAATAATACAATGTTTATAACATGTTTTTTTTTAACTGAATGAGAAGAAATGTAAGGCCAAATATCCTCACAAACAACGCTTAAGTGAAATCAGTTTGCAACTAAGCAGTTCGAAAATTTTGCAACACGTCTGGAGAAAGACGTTCCTCGTGACGCTGTAATTCACTAGAGTAAAACGTCCGTTTATTATGTTTGTTTTTGCATAATAACTGCTATACATACCGTAGAAGCACCTTCCTTTTTGTCATCGCCGCTGACAACATGCGCCATTCTCTGCGGCTTCGGCCGCATGCTTGGCCACAAGTCACCGAAATCGGGATACATAGCCTTATTTATGAATCAGTAGTAGGTAAACGTTGCAGAAGTGTATGTATATTGTTCATTGTCAATGCTGCTTAAACAACATGCCTAACATTAAGTCAACACTCGCCTGCATTTTCGTCTTTTCCGCTTCGCGTTGCGAATGATGTCTAGGCCTACACAAAACGAAAGTAAAATGTGCGCATGTCTAAATGTAAGGGAGATCACTCGTGTTTTCCCGCAGTATATGTCTGAAATCATTCCGAAGGTGTTGTTGTTTTTGTGTATATTGAAATAAAAGAGTCCTGTTATATGGTAATACTTCAATAAACGAAAAACACAAA